ATTGACTCATCTGCATTGACATAATATGTCTTATATCAATATATGTACATGTAGTTCTTAGCTCTTAGTGAACTAATATCTTACATACAAACAAGTTACATATTGTTATAGTAATAGATCTTCTTCAGATGGGCTAGAGGTTTAACCTGACTTACTTGTGATAGCCATAGTTTGAAGTTAGATGTACTTGTATCTTCAATGGTAAATGAAAGACTTATGGCATAAATTATTTATTGTTGGATGCATGGACACCAAATTTCCAATTGCGAATGACTTAAATTGGATATAAATTGCTCTTAGCCAGATGGTTGAGAGTCTTAAAACTGACTTAAAAGAGGTACGAAAGATACCAGAGGGACAGTCAAACTCATAGATCGAAAACAAACTGACAACGCCATGGCCAAAAATAAAAAGACAAACAGACAAATAATAGTACAGATGACACAACATAGAAAACTAAAGACTAAGCAACACGAACCCCACCAAAAACTGGGGGTGATCTCAGGTGCTCCGGAAGGGTAAGCAGATCCTGCTCCACATGTGGCACCCGTCGTGTTGCTTATGTTATTACAAATCCGGTAAATAGTCTAATTCGGTAAGTCACATTTGTGAAAAGGGTATGGTATTGTAATCACGACATAAGGAACATATCCGATATCATCTGTGAAACGGTTATTCCATAACGGTCAACCAACTCGTGATGGCGTCCGTAAAATTTACGAAGGGATGATTTTAACTTCACCATTTGGAACTCTTGGTTTAATAGCTTCCTTGTGAGCAGCAATCCTCTATCAAGGAAATCATGATAGGAAACACAAGCCCGGGAATATCGTATCAATTGGGAGATATATACTCCGTATGCAGGCGCTGCTGGAATGTTGCTACATAGAAATGGAAAGTTCACAATTGGGAAGCTGAAATCATCTCTTTTGTCGTAAAGTTTTGTTTTCAACCGACCCTCATTGTCACTTTCTAGATGTAAGTCAAGATATGAGGCAGACTTAACTGTATCTGTAGTATCCTTTATCTCTAGTTCGATGGGATAGATTCGTTCAACATAGTCACCAAATTTTTTTATTATTTAGTGAGAGAACATCATCTATATAGCGGAACGTAGAGTTAAAGGATATTGCTAACTTCTTATCTTTCTTCCTAAGAAGTTCCTGTATGAAGTCAGCCTCATAATAATAAAGAAACAAGTCGGCAAGAAGAGGGGCACAATTGGTTCCCATTGGAATTCAGACAGTCTTGAAAAAAATGTTCTCCAAACGTAACAAATATGTTGTCAATCAAGAAATCAAGCATCTTGATAATGTCAGTTTCAGTGAATTTTTTGTTTGAATCAGAGTGATTCTTTACAAAGTAGGATTTATCCCTCCCCAAGACAAGATACTTGTATCTACGTTCGCCATTCTTTTTAATGAAACAAAGTAATACCAATTCTTTCAATTTGTCTTTTAGTTTGGAATGGGGAATACTTGTGTAAAGTGTGGAAAAGTCAAATGTTTTAATACTATTGCAAGATGAGAGAGTCTTAGACTGTATGTACTCTAAAAGATCTTTGGAATTTTTTAGTATCCACATCTGATTCACGCCACCTCTAGAATAGGCAGTTTCACAATAACTTTGGGGCCTGGCTTTGATTGCTGATAAAATAGATGTTAATAATTTAGAAAGAGGTTTCGTTGAGCACTTGGAAGACCCAGCAATATAACGTTGTTTGTAAGGACACTTATGTAGTTTAGGTATCCAATACAGTGATGGAAGATCCAGTTCTTCATCTTTGGTTGAAATTCCAAAGGAACATAGAACAGACCTATGATTATCCAGGATTTCCTCTTTGGTAAGTGTCGTGAGTTTTCAAGTGAATTGTCAATACCTAATTCATTTATCAAGCAGTTTATGAAAACGATGTTGTTTGGGGCTTTAACCTGTCTGATTTATAGTTCTTAGTCAGATGAACCAATATCTATGTTGTAAAAGACTTACATATAATAGGAATAGTTCATAGGCAGATGGTCTCAAATTTAAGTTGCACTAGATGACTTTAAGTGTAAAAAAAATATTTCTAAGTCATTGACTCAAATTTAAGTTGCAAATAACTTAATAAGTGTCAAAGAAATATTTCTTAATCAGGTACTCGAGACCTTAGTTATTCGTGTAAAAGAACTATTGGTTAAAGTTATAGACTTTTAAAGTTGCAAATGACCTACATGTAAAAGAAATATTTCTTAGTCAGATGGACCCAAATTAAAAGCTTCAAATGACTTACATGTAAAAAAGACATCTAGTTCTGAATTAGATAGACTCAAATCTTCAGTTGTGAATGACTTGCACGTAACTTTTCAGAACATTTTTTTTATAATACAATTTACTTTTGGAATGTCCAAATGCTAAAAGATAGATGTTGAACCTTATTCTTAAGCTTTGCAGTTTTTCTGTAAATTCTCAGTGTCAGAGAAATGTTTTCATCCTTGCAGTTAGCTACATACAGCTGGTCAGAATGTCCAGAGTAATGTTAATCTAATTGACAATTTCATAAAATGCTGTATTTTTGCAGTACTTGTAGTTTTTGTCTCGCCTGCAGCGAAAGTAGCGGTAGATGAGACACAGGTGTTGTTTTTCCGACGTCAACAATTGTTAAGTTTACTGCTTAAGTCAGTTTGATAGGAACTACTTATGATAGATCATTGATATTTTCTATAAAGTTGCATTACTATCATTACATATCAGTTTGATGACTATTTTGAGGCCCTGCCCCCTAGGTCGTGGTCCAGCGACTTTCATTTAATTAGGAATTTTCAATGTTAAGTTTTGTGCTTAAGTCATTTTGATAAGAACTACTTGTGATAGATCAATGATATTTTCTATATAAAGTTGCATTACTATCAGTACATATCAGTTTGATGACTATTTCGAGGCCCTGCCCCTGAAGTCCAGTGACTTTCAATTGATTCTCAATTTTCAATGTTAAGTTTTCTGCTGAAGTTAGTTTGATAGGAACTACTTACCATAGACCAAGATATTTTCTATAAAGTTACATTACTATCTGTACATCTCAGTTTGTTGACCATTTTGAGGCCCCGCCCACGTTCATGGTCAGGGACTTTGAGTTACTGTCCATCAGATTAGCTTTTTCTAAATTATATGTCGACAGTCGAGACATATCTTTGTGTCAACAGACTTTATTGGGGATATTCATTTATGGTAAAAAATATAGTAATCTATTATTCAAATGCAAGCAGATTGTAACAGTGATTTGGACTGGACATGTTGATTTGAATTTTTCCCAGAATCCATGCTTTAAGTACAATTAGATACAATGTTTTAATATTTGAAGATTATTAAAAACAGAGTCACTATAGCAACATATTTAATATTCAGAAAGCAGAGAATAGATTTACTATGATGAAAGGAAGTTTTATTGAAACAATTTCATGATTTTAAACGTTTCCCCGTCTTATTATATAATATTGACTAGTGTTAGTACTTTGAAAAACCTTGTAATTACAGAGATAAACAGGTGTTCACATGATTAAAAACAAAAAATACATGTAACTATCAAAATAAAGATATTTTAAGATTGTTGTAATGGCTATAAATGCTTGTAATAAAATAGATAGTTTATTTCCCCTAATTGATACAGATAGCTGGTTACAAATGCTTGATATAAAATATGGGCTTAGTACTGGTTTACCCTCTTATGTCACAAAGTCACTTTTTAGAAATTGCCTCAGGTAACTTTTCAATAAAAAAAAACATTTAAATAAAACTGTTTTGAACATTTTTACTTGAAAACAACACACCAAGTTGGATGGTCTCATGCCAACCCCACCCCAAAAAGGTCACAGATAACATTTTACCATGTTGGAGATACTAAATAGTAAGTTGTCCACTGATGCTAATACTGTAAGTTCTATTGGGATCTAGGTAACAGACCTTGCCAAAGACTGTTTTGAAAGGCATAGAGATTATAGCATAAAGGTCAATACTGTGAATGCATTATTTTTGTGGACCACTTGCTTTTGTTTATTGTGGGTCAAAGTTAACCGTGAATTTACCACTAAATACAACTTATCTTAGATGTATGTAGAGTTTGTTGAAATTAGGAATTGAATCAAGTATCTACGAAAAAACAATTTTCAGTAAATCTTATCAATCCACAAAAATTGTAAACCTCCAAAATGAATGCATTCATTGTACGTTAGCAACTAAAAAAACAAAAAAAATACAAGATATAGATAGACCTTCAGTGGTAGAAAATCCCTTAGAGTTGACTGGGATATAGATGTATTGTCATTTGGACTTCTGTCAGAAAGTACAACCCATATGCTAAAGAGGGGCATGTATGGTTGTGTGAGATCTAAAAATATACATGTAGCCACATCTCACAGAATGTGAAAGTCTGACACCTTGTGTAGAAAGATTACCACACTATTTGATTCTTTTCAACAACTCGTTGAGGGGTCTCTAGGTGCCAGTTGGAAGACAAAACTACCACTATCCAACATACTGTCTTTTCCAGTGGCAGTCTATTAATTTCATGGCTTTCACATCCAAACTAATCCACCTTGAAGGGCCAGTCGATTGGGATCATTGTTAATTTGTTTTATGTCCTGAATATGTATGAAATATTTGCCACTGGTAGGTAAAGAAACAACAATCATACAGATTGAAATATGATAACACTCTTAAATATATTTTTATTTGTGTTCAGAAAAAAATATCAAGTATGAAAAGTCAAAACCATCTTGTTTATTACTGAATATATATGTTGAAATAAAAGAGCACTTTGAAATATTTTCTGATTTACTTTTTATAGGAAAAAAAGACATAATGTATGAAAAGTAAAAACCATCATTTTTATTACTGAATATGTTGAAATGATTTATCTCTTCAGGATTTAACTTCAGATGAAAATGAGATGGTGTATAAAAGATCCTCACACTTCGTCTGATCAACTATTAACTATTTGTTACACAAAGTTAAAAAGCAGATATTAGGTCATAATGAATATTTTCTCCATTAACCCAAACTTGAATGCACACATCACATGTTTGCCCTGTTATTGAAGTTATCTATGAGTTTGACAGCAGACGTTAAGTTTATGACTCTAATAAATCAGTGCAAGCAGACATTACCCATGATGCTTTGTGTTTCAGGAACAATTTCTGCAGTCTGAGATGCGTTTTCACCTGTGATTCAGAGTTTTTACCTGTAGATGTGAAAGATAACAATCGTTTTTAGTTGGATTTTATATACTACTTTCAAGGTAAGCTGATTTAAATTTAAATTGAGTCTTTTTTCTTTGTTGACGACTTTTTGATTTTTTATTTTTAACACCTTTGATATATATTCTGTGACTTTTTCCAACCAAGAGTTCTGTAATTTGTAAAAATTCATTTATATAAGTGCATATCAAATTTATTCTTTGTAACATGTGTTTACTTTTTGTTTATGAACTTTATTCTTAACATTTTGTATGGATAAAGACTCTTCTACCTGTTTTTATCGTGATATAAATAAACATATCACATTTTTACAAAAGATTTCATTTGCATTTTACCGATAAATTAAAAGAAAAGGCCCACTATATTATTGATACCCTGTGTTTTGTGTTTAAATACCCTGTTTGTTTTTACACCCATAAAGAAAGATATTGGAATTTTTATGTATCCAATTTTGACTAGCTTGACAGACAAGACCGGTGTTTAGTTTTAGTCAGACAACAAATAAAACATTCTTTAGATGCTAAAGATATTATACAGGAAAATTGTTTGGATTTGATTTTCTTCTTTGATGTCTTCTTTCTTTCTTTTTTTTTTTTTTTTTTTTTTTTTGCCATGTTGCACATTTGTTAATTTTTTTCTCCATAAAAAAACAAGGGTCATTCAATAAAACTTATTGCTGCTAGAGATATTATGCAATTTTGATTTTTTTTCTTTGGTATCATTAAGTTTTTAGGTTTTTTCATTCTCCATTTTTTTTTTTTTTTTTTCCCATGACTCTCACATATGATTTTTTTCTTCATCAAAATAGAGTCACTTTAATATTGATGCTAGAGATATTATGTTACAAAATTGTTCAGATTTGATTTTCTTTTCTCATGATCTGTTTTTGCCTTTGCTTTCTTTCTTTCTTCTTTTCTTATTTTTCCCCCATGTATCATATTTAAATTTTGTATCCATCAAAATAAAAGTCATTCAATAAAACTTATTGAGACTTAACACAACTTCCTGTTGTTTCAGTTTAATGTGCAATAGAACCCTGCATTTATGCACCCTGTTTCCTTCATATTCAATCTAGGCTTCCCAAGCCATAGAACTTTATAGTATTTCCTGATGCATAAACTCTTTGTGTGGTATATGAAACTTTCAGTCAATAAAACACTGCATTGTATTGGATACAATTGTCAAAGCATGTTGTCTTAATGCTGCACATGCATCTGTGTGACTCATTTCCATGCAATAAATTGATTCTTTAATCCACCATAGAATTATTCAGGTCTACTTTTTGCAAGATCAAAGGAAAATGATGTGAATATTTCCCATTTTAGATTAGATGTCTGAAGTTGTATTGATTCCATCAGCATTATGTTTCCATTGTCTCTTTCTATGTAGTTTGCATCATAAATTGCAAATTAAATTAAAAGGAAAAAATCAACTGTGACATCAAGACTGCAGGCAATGTTTTCACATGTGAAGGGTTTCTCTGGCAGATATCTGTCTGGTGGACAATCATACCACATCCTAAATATTTTATATTATAAAAATAAGAAGATGTGGTATGATTGCAATAAGACAACTCTCTACCGAATGTTAAAGAAGTTAAGTAGACTATTTTTTACTCCAAATTTGTCCTCACAATGCTTAAAAAATTAAAAACAACATCAACAGTTTTCCATTAGTGAATTTAATTTATTTTTGGACAAATCAAGAATTTAAACGAAAGATGTTCCCCATGAAGGAAATGGAAATCATTTAAATTTACAATAAAAGAGGGTCAGATAATCAGATTCTAAATGTTCACGACCAAAATTTATGATAAAATAGATCCCCCCCTTTGACATAGATTTATATTTGACAACTCAATAATATATTCATCAGATAATATAAGGTAAGATCGACAGAAATTGAAATGAAATATATATGTATCTGGTTACCTGTTTAAAAGCAATTTATAATATAACCAATTATTAGTGAATCATTTAAAAATATTAATTTCTACCAATAATGTATTTTATGACTAAAACTTCAAAAGGACATTTTAACATGAAAAGAGATTTTATTAGCAGGCTTTGTAAAAATATTGCACAATCATACACCCACTGCACAATAGGGCCTTTTATGACGGGCAATTTAGGTTTAATTGAATGTGAATTGGAGTCTGGGTTAAATGGGGGAAATATGCATAAACCGCAGCTAGCTTGAATAAACTGGTATTGGAAACCTTGTACTATTTTATTACCCTCCAATGTAAATAAATTATCATGACTGAAACTTTAGAGAAAAACGAATCTCTGACAAAAAAGAAAAAAACAAAAGAGGAAATTAAAAAGGTTAGATGTCGAGGGTATCTATGAAATTATGTTGCTTGGGAAAAAAAATATCAACTTAAAATAACATTATGTACGTTCTCTTTAGGAAAAAAAGAAATCAAATATTAAATGGAAATTTCGAATGATTTATGTTTTAGAAGTTAAGTGCAGTACCAAATACATCAAAAGAAACATACTTAAAAGCTAAATAAATCCTCAAATAGATATTTAAAGACCAGTGAATAGAAAACAGATGTGATGTACATAAAAAGGTTGGAAACATGGTTTGATGGTTTTCCATTGTTATAGGGGGGAGATATAACTGTTAGTAGCTGATTTATGTTGATAACAAGGACTCAATTAAACTGTTTTAAACAGGTTGGTTTTGAGGGTTTTTTTATAAGAATATTTTAACATGGAAATACAAAATGAAGAAAATTTAAAACATGAAATTGTCATCTTAAGAAAATTGAAAATAGAATACATATAATTAATTATCTTTGGAACATGTCCTGTGAATTCATAAATATTCCTGAAAAATCAGTTTTCCTAGATTTGATGGGTATGGGGAAACCAAGAATTTAAATACACGTTGAAATACTAAGTTATTTACTTTGATAGGAAGAAATAATGAAGCTAGGAATTTAGGTACCCTATACAAGCAAATATTTTATCAAGCAGGAAAGTTTTTACCAATGAAAATAAATGAATCCACGGTAAAACAGTATCATTATCTAAGGACATCTGTGATTGAAATATTTCATAGGCTCTGTACTGTGAATTAGAAGTACCAAAAATAGAACAACATTTTATCTTTCAGAATTCTAAACAAATTGTACAATTTAAATCAAATCATAACACGATGATGAGTTTTGCAGTTTATGCTTCATTGGCCTATGATATGATGAAGGATTGCTGTGTTTGGTGAGGATCTCACAGGGTGGTCGGGTGCAGTTTATTTCATATTGAAATGATACTTCAACAATTGGACCTGTCACTAAATATGTTAATCGTTGACTGGATTAGCAGATTGAGCTTCTTCAGGTTGTAGGAAGAACCAATTCCTCTTTGGGATGATCTGGCACGCATTTCAATAGATTCCCGTTTGAATAGTTCTTCCTAGAAGTTAGAATTCAGAAACATGTTGTTGAATTAAAGAATTCCTGAATTTTTTACTTTCAAAGTTTTATTGACATAAAATACTGTAAATCCAGAAATTTTTGCAATGTTTTTAATAACGAGTTAACTTTGAAAAAATAAGAAAACTCTCATTTTAACTTTTGATAGTATTATTTATGTGCAGCATTTGCTAAAATTATGATAATTAATACATTGTAATACATTTTTAGCAATCTTTCAACAACCGCAATTAGAAATTCTCACAAACAAAGCAAAATTTATGTCAACTCCATTTATTGCTTTGTCCTGTCTGTCCGTTTCTCTATTGTGTCTATCCATCACAAATTAAATTTGTCAATGCAAAATCATCTACAGTTTACATAGAAGTGGATAAAACATGATAGAATTACTTCACATCATATGTAATTAAATAAGTAATTTGTTAAGGGTAAAGAATTTTCATGGCTTTAACTCATCTGGTTCTTACATAACAATTTCCATTTTATGTTTTACTGGAAATTTTGTAGCTTTTTAAGCAGTTGTGTATCATTTTGATTTGAAATTAGACATTTTTAAAGATCATATTGATGAGTTGAAAATTGCAATGCAGTTTCATGACTTAGGGTTCACCTTGCTCCATATTTTATGGCTTATTTCATTTTGTGTCACTTATCTGGGTCAATATGCAAAAGCTTTCACATAGGTTGTAATAGTAACATTTTCTTCAATTCCTGGCATTGTCCGTATTGTAAACTTAGATATATGTATGATGGCTGTTTTCGAAGCAGAGACCTTTTTACACAGCTGTGGTTTTATTATCAGGGTACCATATGAGATTGGCATCATACCGTTTTAGTAATAAAGAATTAAGAGGAAATCATAAGCTCCATTATCTGGTATGCATGTTTTCTGGATTTTTAACCGGATTTCTGAAGGAAAAAAATCAGTTATTGATTTGGGGATGTATGTCGGGCGGGCGGCTGCCAAACAGTGTCCGTGCATTTACTCATGGACCGTTCAACCAAAGCTTTTCAAATTTTAATATGTTGTTACTGATGACAAAATGAAGGTCAAGTTCAATATTAACTATTTTCACTTTCACCACTCAGGAGTTATGGTTCTTGAAAGATTAAAAAATGGTGTTTCCAGTCGTGTCCATGCTTTAACTCATGAACCGTTCAACCAAAGCTTTTCAAATTTTAATATGTTGTTACTGATGACAAAATCGAGGTCAAGTTCAATATTGATGATTGTCACTTTTACCGTTCAGCAGTTATGGTCCTTGTGCAATTGAAAAATGCCAGGACACAAATAAATGTTAAAAAATCCGGTTTGCTGTCACTCTGACAGCCTCTTGTTCTAAAACATCATGTCCTTTATCCAATAATGTTAACCAAATTATTTTCAAGAATCTGACTCTTAGCTTTGTATTTTTTATGAATTTCATGGAGCTATTTATTTTTCATGAATTTCACGAGTAGCAATAGGTGCTAAATCAGGTAGGAAGGACTAAGCTTAAATATAAGTTAGTTTACCATGTTTACAGAACCTGTAGTTTGGAAAAAAAAAAACGAATAGAAAGTGGATAAAAAAACTGCATAATGATTACATTTTGTTTAATATTAGAATAGCTTAAGCTAATGACAAATAGTGAATGCACTGATGATTGTACATTTTCAAATACTGTAGATTCATTTATTTTTCCTGGATTGAGGAAAAATTGTATTTTTATTGGATATTGGTTTTACGAAATCTGCATACAAGCCTATAGAAAATTTGTACCTAGTTGAATATTTTTAATATCGGAAAATTTAAATCCATGAAAATAAGTATCCCCTGATTAAGGATGAATCCACAGTATACACTAATGGATGGAAATATGATGTCAACATATACTTTTTTCTGTAACGATTGATATTCTTTTTATTTGTTTTTATTACAGATTGTCACCATGTTCAGTCTTCCAGTTTTAGCTTTGTTCGTTCTACAAGTAGTGTCAATGAAAGTGGAAAAATCATACAGAGACCAACATAGACTACAAAAATTTGTTGTCGATAAAAACACTGGTGAAATTTATATCGGTGGACAGAATACACTAATAAAGTTGTCATCAGACTTAAGTGTCATACAGCAAGTCAACAACGGACCAAAGACGGATAATCCCCTCTGTCCACCCCCTCAGATACCTTGTAACTTGACAAAAAATTCTATAAATAGTTTTACAAAGGGGCTTGTAATTGACTATAACAGGAGTACTCTAATTTTGTGTTCTAATATATACCAAGGATCATGTCAAGTCCGTTTATTACAAAATATTGCGTTTATAGAGAAGGATATTTATAAACCTGTAGTAGGTCATAATCCAGATTCTTCTGACGTTTTATTAATAGCGCCAGGAGTCGATAAAGAAGTGCTATATATTGGATCGGAATATAACAATATCAACCCTGGAGGGGAATTAAAAGTCTACCGAGATATGGTACCTCATTTATCTAGTCGGGATTTAGAAAACTTAGAATTCTCTTACCGAGATTTGACGGGAGGGTCCAAAATATCACTTCTGAATCAGTACAAAATGGATTTCCACGTAAATTTCCAATATGGTTTTACTAAAGGAGATTTTGTCTATTTCATTGCAACTCAAGTTAAAGCATTAGATGACAACACCGTTGAAACCAAGCTCATTCGAGTATGTCAGAAGGATAAATATTTTCACTCTTATGTTGAAATTCCCTTACTTTGCTACAAGGATAGGACACAGCCTTACACAGCTGCTAAAGGTGCCTTCTTTTCAGAAACTGCTGGTAATGTTTATGTGATATATGAAAAGACAGGGGACCAGAGCAGTTCATCGTCAGCACTGTGTGGTTATAAGATGGCTGATATTTCTGTTCGTTTTGATTCTACGGTTGATGAATGCCAGAAAGGAAATGGCAACCTTGGACCTGCCCATCTTCATCCAAAAACTCCATGTCCAAAATCAGTAAGTATGATATAAATCGCTGCCTTAATCTTTTGTTTTTGTGTTAACTGTTACCATGGTAAATACATATTATGCCATGCTTATGATATAAGAAGCATTATGGTTTTTTCGATCTATGTATTCACACCAAGTGACACCATCCTGTGTCAGGTTAAAGTTTTGGCTTAAGATAGTATCTTATCATGAAGTTGAAGTCACATCAACTTAAAAAACATAGTACACATGTTCATTATGTGAACTTTTTTTTTCAAATATATGCTTACTGTGAATTCATTTTTATTCGTTGGGTACCAATTTTCGTGGGTTTCTTGGGTACAGGTAAACCACGAATTCAAATGTTCAACGAATTACAAATTTTCTATAGGCTTTGTGTACAGAGATTGGTAAAAACAACGCAATCAAATATCCATGAAAATGCAAGTTTTCTTCAATCCACGAAAGTTGATACCCACGATAATAAATAAATCCACAGTCACTGACAGTAATTAGGGTTTTGACCTAGATTTTGTGCTTCACTGAGCATGAAAATGTGATTGTGTCCTATGGACACAGATTCTTGTTTAATTATTTTTATAATGAGACAACTATCCAATAGAGTTCAAATAATGAAGATATAAGCAACTAATTTGAATTTGAATTAAGTGAAGCTCCTGTTTCAATGTTTCCCAAACCAGACAACACACCTTCAAACAAGCAGTTATTAAAGTAGGATGAATGTGTGAATGGATAAGAATCCTTAATTCTGTTATCATAACATCAACATGATCAAATACTTTTGTTTTCAAGTATCACATCTGGTCTGGGAGAAATTGTGTCTTCTGTTGCCATGGCAATGGGGTACTAATTTCATCCTCCATTAAAACTGTCAAGTTCAGACACCCTTTTATCTTGTATAACACAAATGTTCAATAATAACATTTCGTCTTTTGTTGTTAATTAATTCTTTGTAACAGTTGAAAGTAATTGAATAAGGAAACCTCATCAACTGACAATTGGAAATGAGGTTTACTTTTGTAGTTTCCATAAAGCAAACTTCAGAAGTGTTGTAAAAAGTTTCCTGAAGATTATTGCAGATGAGGTCAGATAGTTTTATTTGTCCTTTACTGCCAGATCACTCAGTCAGTTTGTATGAAAGGAGATGTTGGGTTTGCATTGATGAGAAAACTACCCAACTGGCAACAACCTAGAAAAGAAAAAGTAAAGGTCAACATCTAATGATCCCGGACCAGTTACCAGCTACCGTCACCTTCAGTTACCAGTTTCTGTCACCTGACTGCTGATATCTTCAGACAAATATTTTTACTTCATTTGTAAATACTGTAAATTCAGAAATTATTGCGTGCATTTATTATTGCGATTTTGTCATTTTAGACTAAAATGCGATTTAAATTTTTTGCGATATTGAGAAAAATCCTGTTTAATTCATAAAAAGATTTCAAAATGCGAGTTCAAATTATTGCGATTATAACCCTGTCGCTTTTTTTCGCAATAATAAAAACATAGCAATAATTTCTGAATTTACAGTATTCCGTTTTATTTAATCCTAATAAGATAGGGAAATGCAGAAATTTCTATAAACTGAACGTGCCGTGGGAAGAAACAAGTGTGACATCATCACTTTATGAAGTCCTTGGTTTTAGAAAACATACTGTTTTGAGACAAAGCAATATCTAACCTTGCTTTAGAATATTTATAATTTCTTTCAAAAGAATATAAAGAGATTTATAAATTTCAAAATTAAAGTCTATATAAATGTCTTTCCGTCTTTCAATACAGTGAAAGTGGTTGATTTCAAACGACATAAAGTTAACTTTCAGGAAAGAGCAGGAAAGAGACCTTCCAAATTAATTGTCAGAATGGCAATGTGTCTTTTGTTCAATTGACATATGTTCTTCTCTTCTTGCTACTCAAAAGCAAAATATAATATTCATTAAATGTAATTTCTATGATTTAATGGCAAGATTCAAAAGTGATGGTAACTGGTCATCGTACCTATGAAATTTCCAACAAAAATCGGGTCCTATCAGGCAATGTGGGATGGATGGTTGCATGGGTGTTTTATAATAACGAAATTGGCATACTAGTAACCAGTTTTATTATTGTTTGTAAGAAAAATTAAAATCGGGTTTATGGTGCTTTAAGTAAATTTTGGTAACCCTTTTTATGTTAAAAGAATATTTCCCCATAGTGTTCCTGGTAAGATTTATTTGAAAAAAACTGTGAATTTCTGACAGACAATATAGAACTTATTTGTTATTGTGGAATCTGCCACGCTAGACCCAAGATTGTGCAACACTACTGACGTTATAAAACAATCAGTTTTGGATAGGGTCATCAGAAATTTTCTCTTATAATGTCAAAATTTGACTGGAACGCCTGTGATATTTAGTAATGCAGGCTAATAGCAATAAAGTGTATCGCCAAATGTCCATACCATAATGTCAAGCTCAAAATTGGCTTGAGTACATGGGGCAAGTTAGGAAACAATTCAGCAGACTACCAAAAATCTGACATCAACAAAAATTGGTTAAAAAACTTAAACACTGATAAATAAGATGTGTATAGATTTTAATGTCTCTTGACTCCAGGTAGCATCTAGCATATATGGGAAAACATCAGGATTACAGGTCACACATTGTTTATCCCTAACTTTTTGAAAATGGCTTAACTGAAATCTATTTCTCAGAATCAAATGTATTTCCAAAAGTGACTGAACTTAAGCTTTAAGGATGGGTCTTTGAGACAAAAAGCTCATTATTATATCAGGTATCTTGAATACATATCAGTGTACATCTGATTTCATTCAACATGAAGCTGATTTGTAATTTTACAGAAGAAACTAATTATTTACGCTCATAATGACCACTATTTTCAGTGAAATGTGGTATTCATACAGTGACTGTAATCTTTTTACTTCATCGGAACTCAATTAATTTATCTTATTTGTTATAAAATGCTTTTTAAGACTCTGTAAATGTGATTTTCATGATCATTAACATATGAAATAAGCATTTAGGTAATTGTCCTTGTAAGGCTTAACTGTTCATTGGCACAAGGTATATAAATCAGATCACCACCATATTGCTTCAGCTGTCAGATTATTTTGGAAATTAACTTTGATTTATTTACACAGAATGCATTTGAAATTGTTAAAATTAGGGGGAGATAACTCTTGAAAATAACATATTAGTTAGGAATGAGTTTGTTACATATAAGATAAGTACAAGACCATTTAAAAAGAGATAAAATTGCATGTATTTTGATTTTTGGATACGCTGCAATGTACTTTCAAATCCTTTTTATTTGTGGGATATGAATCTTCATGGGTAAAGGTAACCAATGCATTTATTTAAATGTACAACGAAGTACAATTTACAAATTATCTATAAACAAGGAATTATTTAAATCTGAAACAATTTTGAATTCTGGAAAATTGATAAGAAATGCAGGATGAAAACTAACCCAATTTAGGAGGGTTAGCCGTGCATTCATGGCTAAGGGGGGTTAGTTAGTTAATACTGAATTATCAGTGAAAGTAGAATTAACCTTAGCCATGCACTCATGGCTAACCCTATTTAGTTGGGTTAGTTTTCATCATACATTTGTTATCAATTTACCAGAATTCAAAATTATTCCAGATTCAAATAATTCCTTGTTTATAGGGTTTTATCATGTTTATGCAGACTTTGACAACACCATAAAATCAAAATATCCATGAAATAAAAAAATTTCCTCAAACCACAAAATTTGGTAGCCACGAAAATAAATGAATTCACAGTATATTTAAAAAAAGGTGGTTGTTTTTTCTTGATTTTTCTCATTAATTTACCAACAATATATACATGAAACTATCTGATTTTCACATGGATTGGCAGTTTGAATAACCCTTATAGCCTTATAGGTACAAATGTAACATTAATAAACAACACCATGGTCAAAAAGAAAAGAAAAAAACTAGGACAAAACAACAACAGTGGCAAAACATGATACAGAAAACTAAAGACTGGGTAAATTCGAGCCCCTCCAAGACTTGGTAAATATGAGCCCCACCAAGACTGGGTAAATACGAGCCCCACAAAAAACTTGGAAATATCTCAGATACTCCATAGGGTCAGCATATCCTGCTCTACTAATAAAACCTTACGTGAAAGGTATCTGCACAATAGTACACTTGTCCAAAGTCAATTAGTTAAAACAATCAGGCTGTTAGTTTTCTCGTTTGAAATGTTTTTCATTTGTCATTTTGGGGCATTATATAGCTTGCCATGCTATATGGGATTTGTTCATCATTGAAGGCAGCATTTTGACCTATAGTTGCTAACCTTGTACATGTTGTATGTCATTAGGTCTCTGGTGGAGATTTGTCTCATTGGCAATCATACCAAATCTTATTTGTTTATAATTTTACTGTAAACAAACTTAATTTTCACAAGTGATTTATTTTTCGCAACTAGAAATGTGAATTCACCAACAAAGCTTAGATTGAAATGGAAAAGACTAATAGCTATTGAAGAAACAAAATGCTAAAAAAAAAGTATCAATAAAAATAAATTATTTAAAACAAAGTAAACCAAACATCAGTCTAATATGTTGAAAAAAGAGTATGGTTTAACAGAGGTTTTACTGTGGATGTGAAAAGAAATTACTCCTGACTCAACAGCGAGCTTCAAACTGTTTTAATACATTAAAAAAGGTGCAAAAAACATTTCATGTAGAATCCAAACTGTGTTAAAATGTACACTTATCAATGCCAAGGGTGGTGAAAGTCATGAATCCTTGATAAGATAAGTGATCATCTAAATGATCTATCTTAAACTTATAATGTGTGGTATGAATTTTATTCCTGCAGTGGATATGCAACAAATTGGTTGATTGGGAATGAAAAATTAGCATTTGTCTATTGAATGAATTTGATATAAATATCCTATTGAAAAATTGTGATATCAGAATTTTCTTTTAGAGATCATTGGTTTTACTTTAAAACATGTTCATCCTTAAGCTTGATCCTATAATTCTGTTCAGTTGATTTTTTCCTTGCACAATGATCACAAATAATTTTTTTGTAAATCACTCACATGTAAAAGTAAAGAGGAATGATTCTACACGTATTCTGCATCTACATGTTTACCATCAGTGGAGTAGCTAGGACTTTATAAAAACGGGAGCCAGAGTGGCCCAGCAGTAAAAAAATCAGAAAATTGCACTTATAAACAGAACATTTTTCCATGATTGGATGCTTCTGACCAGTGCATGAATATACCACCTTAGTAGTAAGAATGATTGTGGTCAATTTCGCATTCACAATGGACCAATTCAGATTAGGTGATGCATTATGGGAATGTAACTTTTTGGGGATGTTCTCACCCCGATAGGTCTATACTAGACTTCATTACTAAGACTCAAGGACAGGGTAGGACAGAAATTTGATTCTGAATTTCACAGTTATCTTGATTTGAAAGTTTATATGCATTCAAACATATTGTATCTGGATTCAATCATGTCCCTGTGCATTGATGTTAAAGATAGATATATTCATTGTGTATTATCAATGCAGTAATGTTTTTGAACTATCAAGCTTGATTTAGTGTGAACACATTAAAAGTCAAGAATTATATAATACAGTGAACTTGAAGTGAATGAAACTAAGTTATGTGACACTACATGTTAAAGAATCTGGCACTTAGATTGTATGAGAATTGAAAAAAAACAAATTGGGAGTTGTTGAATAACACTAGCCCCTGACCCCAAACACATTTGCTAGTAAAATTTGTATGCAATTCCTTTAAACTTCCAAAAATCAGACATATTAGTTTTAAGATTGTAGGTAGGCATCCTCATTATGATAACTTTATCATAGCTGATATTTTCAGTGAGGGATTGAGTTCCAAGGTTTGCCTTGTCTATCCCAGGTCTAAAACCGTAAAGTTACAGCTCAAACATTCGTTTGATCCAGATGGTTTACATCTGGCAGACGACTTTATCTGGGAGCCAAAACTTAGCTCTGTGACTTTGATCTGTTTCACAGGAGTATTTTACAAGGCTATAAAATAGAAATTAAGGTTTCTTCATATCTCTGGGATGCATAAGTATTGGTGCAGTGATTTTTTTATTCCTTTTTGTGCAGATTGATTTTAGGATTTAACAAAGTGAGACGATAGCACAAGCAGCTGTCCTGTAAAGATTTATCACAAGTCTGATCATAATTTACAGTTGGCGAGGGTTTTGAAGAGGGATCCATCCCAAATACAGTTAATCTTTCTTGCGGTTCAAAAGCATTGCATTGATTCATTGATATTGCTATCTGTTCTTTGTATTTATAAGTTTAACCACTAAAACAAAATTTTTTTTTTGGTATTAATTTTATGTTTAAAAGTTCAGGCTAAAAAGAACTTTTTAAATACATGCAGATGGGAAAATTTGTGTGATTTTTTTCAAAATGATTTGAGGGTATCAGTGTTTAATTAATAATATGATATGGCACCAGTCTGATATATATATGTGACACAGATGATTCATGGCTCCCAAATGGTCATATTTTCTGGACATGGACATGCCCAGATTGGACAGATCACTGACTTCTGAACTATAGAGGTACAACATGTACAATCTTTAAAACTGTGTACTATTTTAAGTTCATTGTCTGATATAAGATTGAACTAGTCTATGTTTGTAAATAATTCTTACATCCTCAACACCCCCCCCCCCCCCCTCCTCCCCAAAAAAAAAAAACAAACAAAAAAAACCCATCCCCATGGAAATGTATATCTAAATCTGATTTATACGGATTGGAATGACTTGAAAAAAACCATGAACCTTGACAACTCTGAAACCCTTCATCATGTTCATGGATATTTGTTAAGGCACAACACTTTGTGATGCTCATTTATCTCTACTATAAATTTAGATTTTTATTAATGCGGAAAAATGCGACACTAGCGACAGTATAATCTTTCGCAATAATGATAACTTGTTATAATTTCAGAGGTGCTCTTCCTCATAAAATGTTTGCAATTGCATTGATTAGAGATTGCATTATTGCCAACATGGCCAATGGTCAAGGATTCGCAATGATAAATGCATGTTTTAATTTCTGAATTAACTGTTATTCTAGATCTATATCTAATTTCAGAATGAGCCACTGAGTTTGTGTGGAGAAGGAAAGAATTCAGACAAATACTCCTCTATAGAGGGTGTGAACCCTATTGATGAAGAAGCATTGATAGAATTTATGGGCACATCACTGACTAGTGTTCTGGCTGATGAGAAAACATTGAATAATAACATATTCTTAGGGACTAGTAATGGTCAGTTGAAAAAGGTAGGAAGAAAATTTGTATGTCAAGGAAATGGCTTAATTTCAAAATTTGTAGCTGGTATTGAGTATACTTAAATGAGGAACCCTTAAATTTCAGAAGAAAGTATTTTAAATGGTGAAAAAAAAAAAGAATCATCAAATGAAATTAAAAAAATCTGAGGTCCAAAACCACCATGAAAAACTGGAAAACATGTAAATACATAAACTGATGGAAAATGAGTGTCATATTCCAGAATCGACCTTTGAACTGCTATACAGTTTAAATATTTTCATGTTCTATGTTATGCATGTTGAGTACACAAATTAAAATTATAATTCATAATAATCCACTTCTAGGAGGGGGTAAACAGTCTATCATATTTTTATCAGCAAATACAATTCATAGCTCGCAGCTTCATCTTGTTGTGTGACACATTTTCTGTTCCTGTATTCTACTTCCTGTTTGCCGAAAACTTATTTCTTGAATGGGGTACAGTGTATAAGTAGGAGCTCACAAGGTACATCATGTTTTACACCATATATTTTGAAACATTGCTCAGAAGCTATTGTTAAAGAAGAAATATAGGGGTTGATGTACAAAAAAAAATTGTCAAAAGTGATTTAGAAATATTCTGTTAATTACAGGTTATTGTTTCCTCTGGTAACCAAGTGACTGTTGTCAAGGAGATAAATGTTGATATTGGTCAGTCTATAAATGAGTTATTATACAGTCCAGATAAATCTAAAGTCTATGTTTTGACATCTAATAAGGTAAGTTACAGGTAATTGTTATCTTTGGTGACATAATGTTGACATTTGTTGCTGGGGATATATTTATTTTTCGTTGGAATGGAATTCAGACAAATTTTTCCCCTGTTATATGTTGTGGTTATCAAGCAGAAAAAAATTGACAACAAATAGTCTATTAAAAGTTCTAGCACAGTTGTGACAATTCTTAGGTCACCACCGGATGTTAAGCAAGCAACTTTTGTCGATCAATATTCAATGTAATAATTTCTAAGAAATTAAGGTTCCAACCCCCTTTGACAAAGTTTACCGTAGATGGTTCTGGCTATTTTGTTTATCTTCTCTCCTCATGTATTTATAAATACCCAGCTTTCAAATTTGGTTTTTAGTATTCTGGATGACGGTAAATCCAGAAAAGTGCTTGGGATGAGCAAAATTTGTAAATAGGTTTTTTTTTTTGGATATATATTTTACACAGTCTTTACAAATTTTAAGTGTTTCTGTTGATATATTTATGAATGAAATTTAGACTGCACCAAGATGAGATTGGCTATGGTCAGTTGTGATAATAGCCATTTATTTGATAACCAGTTCTCTTACAATTCGTCTGTCAGTTTCAAATTTGGTCCAAAACTATTAAAATAGTTGTTTAGCATTGAAATGAATATTTTTCTGATCAAATGAAACAGCATGATTCATGTGAATTTACATTATATCTCAGCCAAAACAAATAGAAGTGACTGCTTACAGAAAAAGCTTTCTCTAGTGATAACAGACATAATGTACAAAAGGATATGAATATTAGCACTTTTTTTCATTTATCGTTGATAATAAATATAAAAATAGCTGTTAAAAATGATACAAATTCATTTTTACTTTAGTAGACGTCTCTTCGTTTTTTCTTATCTGTTATGTTACATGAATTCTATGTTTTGATAATGTTATCTTTGTTGATTTGAATTGAGCAAATAGGCTGATAAAAATAATGTTGCTGTGTTAGCTGGTTATCACTTTAACATGGAAACTAGAATCCCCAGAGTGATTACTGTATTTTAGTAAAAATATTGTTAAAATTACTTGTTAAACCCATGGTACCATAATAGCTTTCTCTATACTTATCTTTAAACCAATATTTGTTTGACAAGTGACATTTCTCAAATATTATATAACTAATATTTTTGTAATGTTTTGATGTTGGCTGTTCCAATACTTGTGAATTGTATAGCATTTTTCAAAATATTAAATCTATCAGTTTTTGTTGCGAATTTATTTTTGCTTTTTTTCTAGTGTTTGCAAAAATACAAAAAAAAGAGTACTCTTTAAGAAATTACAAGACCAAAAAGTGATTACATCAAGTCTTTATTTTATATGCTTGCGGGCAACAAACTCTGCTTTGACCCAACATGGGATCAAATCCATAACCTCCTCTACTTCAGGTGAGCACATTATCACAAAACCTTTGGGCAATATTTCTAGTGATAAATCAGAAATATGGACAAGGATCTAGTGAAATAGAACTCTGTAGGCAAGTTTGCCCTAGAGATCACAAAAATTCAAACTCTGTAAAAATAAACCACATGACAATACTGTAAATTCAGAAATATTTGCGAGGTTTTTATAAATGCGAATAATGTGACTACTTGAGTATCCCAATAATAAGAACTCGCATTCTGATATCAGAAACATATATCTGTATGTAGCTTTTCCTAAAATCGCTATAATAAAACTCAAATTTTTGTTAATTCTTCAAAAATCGAAATATTAAATGCACGCAATAATTTCTGAATTTACAGTACCGGTATATGGTAAACCTGACCAGGATAACTACAAAACCAAATTCTTTTCTCAATTTCAGCTGCTGATGGTTGACCCTCTACATTGTGGAGAGAGAACTTCTTGTGAAGAATGTTCTGTTGGTCAGGACCCTGTTTGTGGGTGGTGTGTCATGGAAAACAGGTATGTATGTACTGAAATTAAAGTTTGTTAATATGTGTATAATCCTTCACTGGCATACTTTACTGAGATTTATTTCTGTGGAGTTTAAATTTTGCGATGTCAAGGACCAAACCTTTTCTGGAGGTTTTATCTGGTTTTTATTGTCGCTTATTCTGGTCATCCTTACAGATCAAGTTGATGCAACAGGATATTTTTCCAGTGATCTATTTGTTGAAATAAGCGTTAATTTACCCCCTCTTAGGGGGTACCCAACACTTTGAATAAAATAAATTTGGCTCGTTTAATTTTCATAAATTTTTGACAAAATATTTACTTTGACCTGTTGATAAAGATATAAAAATTTCAAGAAATTTGAACCAAACAATTTACAGGAATAATTTCAATGGATATATAGCAGTTTGACAAACGCTAATTTTGATCATTGAGAAGCTTGCTTTCTCTTTACTATTATTATGTGATTAAAACGTTCAGCTGATTTTTAAAGAGTTATCTCCTTTAGGTGTTATGTACCCCTTAAATATTTCCCACTTTACAGTATACAGGTTTTGTTGTATTATATAGATTCTGTTAAAATCTGGTCATGTATTTTCTATTTCAGATGCACTGAAACTGATGCCTGTCCAATGCATTCAGTGATCCCCCATTGGTTGATGCAGAAGTCATGTGCTAAAATGGTTGAGATCCAACCCACAAGCCTCAGCTATGAAAAGTTTCAACTAAATGGAAAAAAATCTGAGGTAACTTCTTCTCCTAGTAAGTTCCTCCCGTCTCTGAGCACCTGTGTTGTACGGTATCATGGTATTACTACATGAAGATCAATATAATAAGCAGAGGAAATTTTTTTGTTAAAATTACTTTTTACTTCTATCTCGTTCTAGATGACATAGAAAAAAGACTTGAATGTAAGGCATAAAAGATTTATTGATTGACTTATTGGTGTTTAACGCCACCTACAACATTATTGTCCTATTTCCTGGCGGTCAGTTTTTATTGGTTGAGGTAGCCAGAGTGTAAAAGTAAAGATGATTAAATATGAATTTGCATTTTGGTGAAATGAAAATCAAGTTTGATACTTACACATTTTAAAGAACACATTTAAATGTATTCTGCTTGATTTCTAAAATTTCCTTTCAAAACTCGATCTAAAATGATTACTATATTTTCAGAATGCATGCTTTGTGTGGATAAATGCAAAAAAATCATTAAAGAATTCATTTTATATTTAATTCTGTAGATACAGTTCAAATTGGAGACCATTATGTTTGCACCAAATATTGATCAACTGGATTTACAGTGTTCTTTTGTTTCCATGACAACTAAATCCAAAACTAAAGCACAGATCGACCAGAATATTATAAAATGTCCCTTACCTGATGAACTTCCTGTTGTTATGAGCGGTAAGGGTGAGTAAATGCTGGGCTCACTAACATTCGCTTTTAGAGAGCTTCTACTAATCTCTATGTACCCGCTGTGTTTTTCGATTATTGTGGATTCATTTTTTTTTGGTTGGAATCCAATTTTCATGGATTTCAGAGGTACAGGGGAAACCATGAATTTAAATGTTCAACGCATTGCTAATTTTCTTTAGGAATGTATATATAAACTTTGTCAAAACCATGAAATCAAATATCCACCAAAATGCAAGTTATCCTCAATCTTTGAAAATTGGTACCAACCAAAATAAATGAATCCACAAATATCATATTGTACCTTTATGGTGTGGGACTGTCAAAATATGCATGGTATGGCAATCAATTATGATATGAGCAAAACATACAATACAAAAATAAATATTTGTGGGCTTTGCTTTAACTACAACCAAAGTTCTTTAACTACGGAGGCTAAAAATGCCTCAGGAACAGCCATTTTATGTTATGTTGACTTTGCAATGTCAGAACTTTTTTCCTATCCCCCTCCCTTGAACAGTTTTGCAGGTAAATAGGCAATAAAAAAGGTGGGGCCATCTTTTCATCTGTCCATTGGTTGGTAACAGACAAGCAATTTGAAATTTATGCCTTCTTTGGTCTTAAAATCTTTGAATTTTCATAAATTATTGTGATGCAAAATTCTGATTCTTGTTATACTTCATTTTTTTATGCCAAATAAGGTTATGTTGCACCTCTTTTTGACCAGTCTGAGTAAGAAACGATTATTAGAGAAAAAAATCACATCTCATACCTGTGATCAAATATTGTTTTTTTTTTTATTACTTTGATGAAACTGACAGACTCATGCAAAATTAACATGCATTTGCAGTAAAAAAAAATAACAAAATTGACTTTTATTAGATTTGATGAAATGAAATATGATACTGTTAAACCAAATATTTATATTAGGGAATGTGACCCCTATGGAGTATTTTCCAGATCTTCTTCCAATCTTAATGAAAGCAAATTAAGATCTGATTTTAAATGGGTTTTGTTTAGGTGGGAAGTGTATTATTACTTTCTGGAACTCAATATAATGACTCAGACACTCAAAGTTACATCATTAGTTATGAAATGTCAACTGAGGAATTGACAGCAAATATTAGAAAAAGAAGCACTTTGCATTAAAATTGCATCAGAATGAATTGTAATGGGAACTCATTGCATTTATAACCTTTCATTATCTCATGTAGATTAGATATGTATGTGTATAGATAGCTAAATTAGTGCATATCCTTAAGATCACAAATTGCCCAGTATTTACAGGTTGATTATTACATACATATGATTTTTTTGGCATTTTGCATAACTCTTGCAGAAATGTTTTTTTTTATAGCATGCTCTTTTGAATGGTAAGCTATAATTTGTTGTTTTAACAAAAGTTGATAACATTAAATATATTGGTTTTCAACTCAACTTGCTGAGAAGCCCAGTTTTATCTACTGTGGGTATATGATGAGACTATTTCAAGCTTCATGGCATACCAGGGGTATGTATGGTAAGGTTAAGAAATTATGATGAAATATATGACAAGGTTGCTGCTTCAATCATAACTATCTGCAACTAATCAGATGTTGATTTTTTCATAGATGGCATTTAAACTGCAGTCATAAATGCCACAGATATGTGTCAAATCTACTTATCTCCCCATGAAATAGCTAATCTTTATAGCTTTTTGAATATTTTGTGTATAAAAAATTTATGATAGGAATGTATTTCTGTTATTCAAAATATATGATAGGGAATGCATTTTTGTTATTCAAAATTTATGCTAGGGAATGCATTTCTGTTATTCAAAATATATGCTAGGGAATGCATTTCTGTTATTCAAAATTTATGCTAGGGAATGCATTTCTGTTATTCAAAATTTATGCTAGGGAATGCATTTCTGTTATTCAAAATTTATGCTAGGGAATGCATTTCTGTTATTCAAAATATATGCTAGGGAATGCATTTCTGTTATTCAAAATTTATGCTAGGGAATGCATTTCTGTTATTCAAAATTTATGCTAGGGAATGCATTTCTGTTATTCAAAATATATGCTAGGGAATGCATTTCTGTTATTCAAAATATATGAAAAGGTTGGGGTACTAGATGTCTCAGCTGATCACCCCTACTACAATAGGATAGAAGTGCCCCTCCCCAAGGGGAAAATCTTAACATACACTCTGGCAGTTCTTACCATATGAGACATGAAAAGTACAAAAGGAAAGGATTGAAATAGTTTTTGAGATGGAAATATGATTACACCGGTAAACAGTAATATGGAGAAAAAATATGTTGGTAAGATTTCAAAGTTTGCAAATGTTTACTTTTACCTACAGATTACCATGATGTAGAAGTAGAGTTCCATATAGAAGGAAGACCAATAGTCAAAAGAAGTGTACCAGTGTTTGACTGTAGAGTTCACGATAGGTTGGTTAATATACCTCTTTCTTTCTGCTGTTTTTTTTCACCCAGTTTATAAAAATAAGGAGATGAGGTATTATTACCAATGAGACAACTATCCACCAAAGTTCAAATATAGTGGATGTAATTCACCCAGTTTATAAAAATAAAGAGGTGAGGTATGATTGCCAATGAGACAACTATCCACCAAAGTTCAAATAAAGTGGATGTAAGCAATTAAAGGCAACTGTTGTTACAGGGGAAGTCAGAAAAAAACATGTAAACTCATTCACTTGATAAATACTCAAAACCTTTAGTTGTAACTTTATGTAGATTGTAATTGAAGCTTTTATAAATTGTTTACTGATGATATCAAAACTTCTCCATAAAAATGGTTGCTGTCTGTGATTCATACCTGTCAACTTGTCAAAATCTCCATTAGGGTATTAAGTATTAAAGGATCTGATGTATATCTTAAACATGTCACAAATGTATTAAATCTAATACTCTATGGTTTTGATTGATGATGTGTGTGCAATAATGCCTTTCAGCTCCTTTGAATTAGGCTTTTGGGTATTGAGTTTATATAAATGAAGATTTCAAAAGTAATGCAAAACCATCTCTGCAGAGAAATCTCCATGAAACAGGAAAGTTGACAGGTCTGCTGAGAATTTTATTTAAACCAAGAAAAACACTAAAATAAAATTAACCACTTGAGAAAAAAATATAAATTTCTTCTGCTGTAATTGTTAATTTCAGCATTTGGTTAATTACTTTACTGCGGACTTCATTTATTTTTCACGGGTCTCAATTTTCGTTAATTGAGGAAATAAGGTATTTTCTTCGATATTTTGATTTCGTGTTTTTGCCAAAGTCTCCATACAAGCCTATTGAAAATTTGTACTCAGTTGGACATTTAAATTTATAGTTCACCTTTAACCTCAAAATCAACAAAAAATGGTATCCCACAAATAATCATTAAAATGTTTAATGTTTACTGTGCGTATTGTTATGCGTTTACTTTTCTACATTGGCTAGAGGTATAGGGGGAGGGTTGAGATCTCATAAACAAGTTTAACCCCGCCGCATTTTTGCGCCTGTCCCAAGTCAGGAGCCTCTAGCCTTTGTTAGTCTTGTATTATTTTTAATTTTAGTTTCTTGTGTATAATTTGGAGTTTAGTATGGCGTTCATTATCACTGAACTAGTATATATATTTGTTTAGGGGCCAGCTGAAGGATGCCTCCGGGTGCGGGAATTTCTCGCTGCATTGAAGACCTGTTGGTGACCTTCTGCTGTTGTCTGTTCTATGGTCGGGTTGTTGTCTCTTTGACACATTCCCCATTTCCATTCTCAATTTTATAGTAGTTCTATTGTAGACTTCAAATATAATGACAAACCCTACTTTATAATTTTGTATTCAATTTTCTAACTCAAAAATGTTTGCTAAATATCATTAAAACTGTATTTCAGCTGTACAGACTGTGCCAAGTCTAACTTCTCCTGTATGTGGCAGTACCAGGATAATACATGTATCAGTACAACAACAAACAATGCACGACAGGTAACCAGTTTTTGTGTATGCAGTTTTCACGAAATTAAACTTTTGACTTACAACTCTGAATATCAGTCTCATAAAAATTCCTTAAATTGATAGGACTTAGGCCCCTTTTCAGGAAAATTTCACTTGCCTGACAACATTTTTATTTGCCAGGTCTGTAGGGATTGTGGTTATTCATGGAGGCTCTGTATGCTTTCATTATGTACATTTCAAACATAAAGAAAAATTTTAACAAATTGTAAATAGATAATGCAACAATGCTTCTTTGATGGTATGGAAAAAGGCTTCTAGGAAGGTTTTCAATCAAAAAAAATTTTTTTTTTTCATAACAGCAGCTTTAAAATAGTTCACAACTATGGTGGCTGTTCTAAAAAAAATATTAAATAGGTATATAGATGTTTAATGTAGTTATTATACAGATTCTTTTGTTAAGGCCACACCAAATTGAAATTTTTTTGGATCGGCTTGCACCAATTGTAAAAAGAACTACTCAGCCTAGTCTTCGATTGATTTTACTTACATCAACATCTTGTGTACTTTAATGACTGATGTTTATATTTAATCCTTGTTTACCATTACAGACAAATGGTATAACAAATGCAGATGAGTGTCCACGAGTAGAAAGTCCCTCTAGTGTATCAGAAATAGTGGTCCATTCTGGAGAAACTAAACAGATAGCTGTCAGAGTCATTAATCTAAAGGTAAGAAGGTTTTTTTACACAGATAGGTGCATACATAATTAAGTAATAAGGATGGCATTGTAAATATAGCACAATGAAAAGTTACATAGTTTGAGAAAAGGATTTTTTTTAATCTTCTGTACTACAAATTTATGGCTTTTATATTTGTATGAAACAACTGAAAGGTATATTGGATTTAATTCAATTGACAATAATTGGTTTTAACATGTGAACACTTTTTATCTGTCAAGACACTTACTTCATATTTTGTCACCCGTGATAACTAAAAAACAATCTGTCCAAGGGCGATAACTACAAATAAATTTTTTAGTTGTTGCCCTTGGACAGATAAAATATGTGCAACACAAGGTACATTAGAACTCTGTCATTTTAATCCAATACCTTGAATTACTAGTGCAGGTATGATGTATGCAGCTTAGCAAGACAACTTGTGAAACTTTTTGTTTTTTTTTTTATTTCAGACTGAACAGAGAGATAACATACATTGTAGTTTCCAGTATCTTGCTGTGTCAATGGTTGTCCCTGGCAGTATATCATCTTCTTCATTGACCTGTGATCCTGTTCAGGTATATTTTGATATGAACCTTTTATGAAAGGTTGAAACCCAGATGAATAGAATTTCTTACCAAAAGATATGGCTATAAAATCTTGAAAATCTGGATTTTACTGAATATAGAAGAAAAGAAAATTAATGCTTCTTTGCTAATAAAATCGTGCTTGATTTTTAAAAAGAGAAGACAAATGCTGACATTGTAGTAATAAAAAGTGACAAAACTACACCATGCAAATGGGACCTGACCCGCTACAGAATTATATATTTGTGAAGTTTTCTCAAACTTGATCAGTTCAGTTAAATTAAAGATATCAACAAACATGTTAATAAGAGCTATTTGGTAATACAGCTTAATCTAAGTGACTTTACCGTAGATTAATATAAGTTGTACATGATCAAATTTTAATTACAACAACATTGTTTTTAAAAGCTCTTGATATCATTGAAACAATAAGGACTTGGTGGAAGTGTTTGGAATAAAAATAGACTAAGGGAATGAGCAAATACCTTGGTGTCTTGAAAAAATAAAAAAATGAAGAAATACCTTGATATTTTTTGAGAATAATGCTTATCATACTAAGTGCTTACTACTATAAGTGAAATTTAACAAAGGGGTAAATGATCGAAAACATAAAAATTAACACAATAAGACATTATAATAGATTCAGAAAAGATAATAGCTCCATATTGAGAAATGAGTTTTCAGGAAAAAAATTATGCCATATTGGCTTTCAGGTCTATTGTCACAACTTGTTAGCACATGTAAACAAAGAGCTTTAACTTGTATATTTCAGTTTAACTTCAGTGCTACAGACAGTCCATCATTGATTGCTGATTTCAAGATTACATGGGGACAAAATAACTATGTTTTAGATAATCCAAATGGAATCTCAGGTATAGATACATAAATAATTTGTTGTTTGAATTAAACTAGAAATATGCAGTCATTTCAGTATACTAGTATGCTGTCATTTCGGGACCTTTTATAGCTGACTGTGCGGTATGGGCTTTGCTCATTGTTGAAGGCTGTACGGTGACCTATAGTTGTTAATTTCTGTGTCATTTGGTCTCTTGTGAAGAGTTGTCTCATTGGCAATCATACCACATCTTCTTTTTTATATTTTATACTAATATGCATTATAAAACAGTCAGGTTTTTTTTTATGGCAAACTGTAAAATAAACAACTATTTTTTTTAATACTATATTTGTTTATGGATGTAGATTTATACTAGAATAAGATATGAATTGAATTTTGTAGCATCATTTTTCAATTATTTGTTACTATAGATTATTTTTCAGTTGGATAATTTTTTAATGTTAAGATTAGTCCCTAGGTTTTTGCAGCCATTTAGATACCTTGCATCACAACATTTCCATTGGAAACAATCCCATTGTTTTGCCTTTGCTTCCTTTCAGTATATATTTGTATATTTTCCTTTGTATTAATAACTTGTTCATTAAAGAAATATTGTTTTTACTTTAAGTGAGAATATTCAAGTGTCCATTACTAGTGACCAACTGTGGACAATGCCTCAGTTTGCAACCAGAGTATGAGTGTGGATGGTGTGGCACTTATTGTTCTCTTCAAAAACATTGCAATGCTACGTGGCAGGATAGGTCTGCTGTGTGTCAAAATCCTCTGATACTAAGGGTAAATTATTTTTTATAAATGTACATCTAAACTTTTTAAGTGTGTAATTTACCACTTCAGAATCTAATGCATTCTGGGTAATATTTTCAAAAATGTACACCAAAATGTTGTAATTGGTTAAAAAAGTCTAAACAATAGAAATTCAACCAATGACGTGACACTATTATCATTTTTGGGTAGGAATAATGAGATTACCCATAGTCCTTTAGGTTCAGAAACGGCAAATAGTGCATATATTTTAAGTTTGCTTTTTTGTTAGTTGAACCATGAATTTTGTATAAGCTTTTGTTGATATACACAAACTGATTGTCAAACATGTTTCTATACTATCATCCTGCTCCACTTTTTGATTGGCAATTAATAATTTGTAAGAGTGATGAGTCCACATGATATAAATCATTAAAAACGATATGTATTTTCAGTTCTCTCCATCAGTGGGGCCTATAGAAGGAAAAACCAATGTGTCAATCAGTGGAATTAATCTTGGTAAGACAGCTACTGATATACAATCAGGAGTGACTGTCGCAGGAGTAAGATGTACAGTACTACCAGATCATTATCAGCCTTCTTTCATGTAAGTTTGAGATACAAAAGTATTTGTTCACATTTATTCTATTTCTCCAAGAGACCAGGTGTTAGATTTTATAAGCTGTTTGGTCAAATTTTTCTCTACATTTAATTACACTGTATAGACTCTTACAATACACATCCTGCAGGGTTAATTAGTACTCGTTTTACACTTATATTGTTTTGGATGAAAAACCTTTAATATGGTAAAATTAATTTGTAACTGACAATATTTATGCCCCCGCAGTAGCGGAGGGGGCATTAAGTTTTACTCTTGTCCTTCTGTACGTACATCCGTACGTCCCAAAGTTGGTTTCCGTTCTCTAACTTTAGTTTGCCTCAACCAAATGTTATGAAACTTATACACAATGCTTATTAACACAAAACACAGATCAAGTTTGAATTATGGTGGTGTCACTTTAACCATTCTAGAATTATGCCCCTTTACAAATGGAAAAATTGCTGAATTTTTTCGTTTCCGTTCTCTAACTTAAATTTGCCTCAACCAAATTTTATGAAACTTATACACATTACTTATTACCACAAAACTCAGATCAAGTTCAAATTTGGGTAGGGTCACTTTTACAGTTCTTCAATTATGTCCGTTTATAATTTTATATGATATGCAAGCGGGGGCATCATCCGAGTCCCATAGACACATTCCACATTTATTTTTACTGTCACAACATATCAAGTTATTTTTATTTTGTTTATCTTTGCAGGTTTAAGTGTGAAACTGAGCCTTCAGGAAAAGCTGGTAGCGGTCCAATTAAAGTGACCGTAGGGAAAACCTACACAGCCATATCAGATAACAACTTTACATTTGTGGTAAGATTATCTCCCTTTTCATTGTGGGGAATAATTCTGTTTTATAATCTAAAAAGATTTGGGGTAGTTTTATTGCTCATACACCTAAAAAATGAAATAACATGAGTCATTGGTCGGATTGATTACAGTTGTTTAGGACGTTGTCAGACAATTACATTGCTATTGTTTATGCTTTTGAAGGTTATACAGCAAATTCAAAAAGTTAAGCATGTATTAATTATTGTGAATCACTGAATGCTGGTAAAAATGTGAGATCTAATTCATACAATCGCTAACATTTTGTGAATGAAAATCAATACTGAAATAATGAATGGGAGTTTTTATTATTGAAACCTGATACTGTCGCATTTTTCGCATTTATAAAAGCATGGCAATAATGTCTGGATTTACAATACCTGGAATGTATTGATTTCTACAACAGTTAATTATTTGACATTCTAAATTAATTCCCATTGATGGGAAAACCTTTTTTGAGACCTGTGAGTTTATTACTTGAATTTTAATAACCAATTCAAATTAAAAAATCTTTGAATATATAATATATACCAGAGAAATATATATACTATATATACTACATGTCTCTGTATATAATTTTAGTTTGGAATATTTATAGGTTTCATAACGAGTGAGAATGGGATATCGCTTGATATCAACTCGAGTTATTTAATTTCAATATAATAATAAACAAGCCTTCGGCGAGTTTATTATCACTATTTAAATTAAATAACGAGAGTTGATATCAAGTGATATCCTATTCTCACAAGTTGTCAAATCTGTTTCTCTTATGGTCAACGCTCTCTTTGTGTTTAATTAAAAATTCCGCGAATCGTTGATCTAGTCTTTTGCACATTCCAGTATGATGTCATATGTCCTTTTCTGGTGTCAAACTTTAACATCAGACATTTTAAGACTTTTTGTACACTTCAGAATGTAATAAAATTTGACAAATAGAAGATTGTCATGTGAAAAGTGTGAGTGTTTTGTATATTATTGAAGAAATCACATATGTCCGTTGCCATGGACGAAATGTACATCGTCGTAACCATTGAAAGTCATCAATGACCTAACAAATAGCCAAGGGAAATGCTGTAATATCGTCTTATGATGCTGGATAAGCCAATTAGATTAACACAGATTTTCTTATCGCTTTTTCGTATCACACTGCATGGAGTGTGATACGAGAAATATCTATTCATGCAAGAAATAGATAACAGGCCACAACCAAAAGAGAAATAATATGTACTTTTAGTTTGGAATATATAATATGTACTTTTAGTTTGGAATATATAATATGTACTTTTAGTTTGGAATATATAATATGTACTTTTAGTTTGGAATATATATTATGTACCTTTAGTTTGGAATATATAATATGTACTTTTAGTTTGGAAAATATTGATGATGTTGCCCATGACTTCTGATATCCACAAACTTAAAAAACAAAAAAAGGTTATTAAAGTTAAACCAAGTTAATTTGTCTTCTGTTTGTTTGGGTTTTTTCTTTTTCTTTTTCGTTGTTTTTTTTTTGTGAGGGCGGTGAATGTGCAACCAAATAATATTTGCTGAATGTGATGTTATATTACAATTTGTAGTAAATTTATACTGAAGTAATTTTATTAGATTGGAAAATTAACCTTTGAATAGTAAAATTCTTGCAATCTGATAGTCTTGAATAAGAGGGACGAAAGATACCAGAGGGTCAATCAAACTCATTGATCGAAAACAAACTGACAACGCCATGGCCAAAAATAAAAAGACAAACAGACAAATAATAGTAAAGATGACACAACATAGAAAACCAAAGACTAAGCAACACGAACCCCATCAAAAACTGGGGGTGATCTCAGGTGCTCAGGAAGGGTAAGCAGATCCTGCTCCACATGTGGCACCCGTCGTGTTGCTTATGTTATTACAAATCCGGTAAATAGTCTAATTCGGTAAGTCACATTCATGAAAAGGGAGGGTATTGTAGTTACGACATAATGAACATATCCGATATCATCTGTGAAACGGTTGAACTTGATTTATCAACAGGAGCCTCAAGTTCTATTCTTAACACCAAGAGAGGGACCTCGGTCAGGTGGGACCATGATCACCATCGGTGGAACAGATCTAAATGCTGGGACTAGTGTTACTGTCAATGTGGGTGGCAGTCCATGTGAGGTTGACCAGTAAGTTGGCAATAAAAGGAAATCGAGGGTTAGGGTCAGTGATATCAACCTACATATAGATATACAACAAATATAACAAGATGTCTTTACTACAGAATACAATGAAGAATATTAGAAAATGTCTAGAATGTTTGACATCACAATATTATTACAGATCAGATGTTTAAGTGTTAATTCATTTATTTTTCATGTATATCAATTTTTCTGGATATTTGATTTGTTTGTTTTGCAAAAGTCTACATACAAGCACATAGAAAATTTGTACTATGTTGGAACATTTAAACTCCCGGTTTATCTTTATCTACAAAATCCACTAAAATTGATACCAACCAATAATAATGATTCCACAGTATATATATATGTATATATAACCAGTCTAAAAGGGTACAACATCACCAAAAAATAACAATAAAATGAACAAATGTAACAAAAATATTTCGGATAACAGATATCCTTCATCAGTATGATCACGATGTAAAATGAATCGGAATAGGTTGATAAGATTCATTTTACATCGTGATCATACTGATGAAGGATATCTGTTATCCGAAATATTTATAGTTACATTTGTTCTTTTTATTGTTATTTTTTGGTGATGTTGTACCCTTTTAGACTGGTTATATATTATATTTTGTAGTGTACTGTATCATAATTTTATGATCCATCGCCTCGATAGATTTATCGTTGGCTATTATTCAGTCATTTTATATATGTATATATACATTCAATCAAAATATCATATTTTGAAGATGAATGCATTCTGGTTTTCCTTTATTCTTCTGTAAATTTATTTCATATTTTGAAGTTGCTACAAATAAAAGCTTGTTGATATTTTGTACCAAACTTCTTCTGGGAGTTCTGGTGTGTGTTATGTTGTATTAAGCAGTTTCTCAAAGCAGTTTCTCAAAATATGACTTGATGTCTCTAAAATATTCAAATGAAGTCTGAAGTTTAAGAATGTTATATTTTTAATTTTGTTCGTTTAAAAATGCAAAACAACAAGAAAGTTTTTACATTAAATTGTATCTAAACATGAAACCCTGTTCATCTAAAGCAAATTTATTTGTGCTTTTTATTTTCCCATTAAAAGTATTTAAGCTAAACCAGTAAAATGTCGCTAATGACCACAACTATATTTTGATGTTTTTTTCAGCGTATCTATGAACACACTGTCATGCTTGACATCTGCTCAAACTGGTAATGATGAAGCAGAAATAGAAGTCAGTTTTGGAGGATTTAAAAGACTGATGACCCCTAAGTTTACATATAAGGAAGACCCTGAAATCCAGGATGTAACTCCAAAGAAAAGTATCTTAAGGTCAGTATTTTAAAATTTGGATATTGTATATGTATATGTTGTCAGAGTTAAGGTGGTACATAACACTACAGGGAGATAACTCTGTAAAAATCAGCTGAATGTTTTAATTACGTTCTATTCTTAAGGAAATATTAAGCTTCTGAATGATCAAAATTGGTGTTTGTTAAACTGCTATATATCCAATGAAATTTTTCCGACTAAGTGTGGGGTTCAAGTTTTTTTTAATTTTTATATTTTTGTCAAAGGGTCAAAGTAAATATTTTGTCAAAATTTTGTGAAAATTAAATGAGCCAATTTAAATTTAGTCAAGGTGTTTGGTACCACCTCAATAAAATTTAATTTACAAGTGTCCATAGTAGGTTTTCCATTCACATGTCAAAATTTTTATTTAAATTCAACTTTTTCCAATCTGTTTCACCTGGAAAAATTATGCTTGTTATGGTAACATTTCCAAAAAAAGATTGAATGTTAATATGTGGTGTATATAAACTATTGAGTTCTCAAACTTGGTAGTGTAGTTCTAAATGGCAGTGTTCTGTACATATCAACAGTGACCACTGAGATGTCGACTGAAAAAAAATTGATGAAATCATATACTTAAAAGAAGAATTATTACTTTTAAGTGAATAAATAATTTGTTTTCAATGAAGTAGGAAAGACAAACAAGTTGATTGATCCTTGAACAGAAATTTTGATACATTTGAATCATTCCAAGGCTTTTACACACACACAATTTATGAATTCAGATTGGACCTGATTAAGGAAAACTATCAAATACACAATAATATAAATTGGAGATAACCTTAATATTGTTGATTTTCAGAAACCTTGAATGAACTTGAAATCAATGAAAATAAGCATTTAATTAGAATTTGAGTTTTTTACTTGCACTAATTGGAAGTCACATTGAGTGTTTTTATGATTTACAAGTAATGCAAGAAGTTTATATTGTAATGAGTGTTTTTATGATTTACAAGTAATGCAAGAAGTTTATATTGTAATGAGTGTTTTTATGATTTACAAGCAATGCAAGAAGTTTATATTGTAATGAGTGTTTTTATGATTTACAAGTAATGCAAGAAGTTTATATTGTAATGAGTGTTTTTATGATTTACAAGTAATGCAAGAAGTTTATATTGTAAATATTTTTGAAACACAGGTATTATTCTCAAAAATAAAATTGCTGCATTTTTGAGTTAGTATTTTTCATTTTTCAGTGGAGGGATAAAGATAGATGTTATGGGATCCAGACTGAATATAGTACAGAAAGCTGAATTCTTTGTAGAAGTAGGCAACCAGAAGATCACATCTGTATGTATATAAATATTGTCAAAATATTACTACAGAGGGCCATTAAAGGGAAAACAAATTTATACCAATTAATTAGGTTCACAGAAAATTAGGGAGTAATCTGGTCCGGCAGTAATAATATAAGTAGTTTCCCATTTCATGAAGGTGTCTGGACAGGGGCCCTTAACTGGCTGTCATGAACAAGTTCTCGTTTTAAAGAGGTGTCTAGAGTGGGTCCTGAACTTACTGTTATGAAAAGTTGCCTCCATTTTATAGGGGTGTCTGTTTGATTGTAATATGAATTCTTTGGTGATGTATCAGCATATGTACTATGGCAGTTCATTACTACATGTAGAATAGTAATTTTTCTGGAAATGGGGTTTGACAATTATAATAGTGCGAAAGAGGGTTTGAAAATTATTATATTGCTAAATGAAATACAGGTAAACCAATCTACAGGGTTTTTGATATAGATATGTTTGAGGTTGGACTCTAGATTAGGATGAATGTGGGGACTCTGAAATTTGCGAAATTTATGAAAAATGCTAGATTTTGAAGCTGTGGTTGCAAACATAACACAGATTTGTAATACTGAAGAGTCAGAAGTTGTTTTGATGTTTTTAAAAATGCAAAAAAATGCAACAGTTTCAAGTGTGCAATAATAAAAAATGGCATTCATAATTTTAGTGTTGATTTTCCTTCATAAAATGTTTGCAATAAGATTTTGTATTTTTGCCAGTAACTGTTGTCAAGGGTTAGCAAAAATACAGGCACACATTAATTTCTGAAGTCACAGTAATAGCTCTTGAACATTATATGGCTGCTTTTGGAATTCAAATATTTTTTTTTTTGAAAAGAAAAAAACATCAGGCATACCTTTCCTTATGATACTTGCAAGAGATATTCTTCAAATTCAAATTAAATGTCTGATCTACTTATTAACAATGAAACTTCTCTTATATGAATCATAAGATAGAATAGCTTTTAAACATGGAATTTATTTTATTTTACAGGTGTGTGTTGGTAAAAATATAGGAGTGGCCCACTGGTTAACATGTCGAACTCCTCCTCTCTCCTTTCCTGGGGAGAATATTACTCATACAAGCCCTAAGGACATACATTATGGATTTAACTTAGATGGTGTTACAGCTTACCGTAACTTATCTCTCACAAAGGGACCCATGGAATACTACCCTGATCCCCAAATTCATGATTTTAGACAAGAGGATCAAGAATTGAAGTACAAAAAAGAGGAACCACTTATTATAAAGGTATTGTGAAGAGTGCAATTTTTAAAGGGGTTTATTTTGTAATATTGTTACCAGTCCATATTTTGTTCCTTCCAAACATACCCTCATTTTTCAGTGGCCCTACAAATTTCCAATCCTTCATCATGGCCTACCCCTACCTTGTATCATTAAGAATTAATGTCCTGAACATGCATGAAGTATTTGCCAGTGGACTAAAAGCAAATCATAGATTAATAGTGTCTTAACTGTATATATTGAAAAATCGTCTTGATTGAAAAATGTCAAATTATTACTGCCTAGGAATGATCTTATAGATAAAGTTATCTTCTCAGGACAAAAAGTTGCATAACTAATTAAAGTATAAATGTTTTCAGGGTAATTTCAATGGTATTCAGCAGTTAGTTATTCGAGATGTTAAAGTGTTCGTTGGTATGACAGTATGTGGAGATATAGTATCAACAGACTACAGTCTGAACTGTACACCTCCTGCTAAACCCAAGGAGGTGGATTCTGATGGAAATGCTCAAGTTTTTGTGAGTTTTCAATTTATTTTTTCAGTTTCAGGTTACTGTGGATTAGTTGTGGGATACCTACTTTTGTGGATCTTTTGGGTATAGGTAAACTACGAATTTAAGGATGTTCGTTCCTCTTGTTTTTTAATGTTTGCCAGATATTAGGAATCCTCTGGTTTTATCCATTTAATGCTTTTAAAAAATTTTGCCCGCTAACCCCTACTTTTCTTTTCATAATTTTATTACATATAGTTTAAAAAGCTATATTTGAAAATCTTATAAAATCCTTGTTATTTTTTCATAGTTCTTGAAAGAAAAAAGGTGCCAATGTAAAATGTATGAAAAATTGAGTGAGAATCACTTCCCACCAAATTTCCAATGACTTATATCTCGAAATCAAGCACACGGACCCTTCATTTTTTTCTGCTTTTTTAGGTCCTTTATTTAAATTCTTTCAATTGATAACAGTCTTTTAAGAAGCTTGTTATTTTGAAACAGAGTAGCGAACATCCTTAAATCTTTAACGACGTACACTTTTACTAAAGGTTTGTTTACAGACTTTGTCAAATCAACAAAATCAAATATCCACAAATATACAAGTTTTCCTCAATCCATGAAACAAATGAACCTACAGTAAATCGCTTTCTTAAGTTCTTGGCTAATTTTAACTTTTTCCAATTGGTACAATTATATGAAGTACATTTGCTCTCAATTTTTCAAAATTGGGAAATCAACTTTTCCTATTGTCCTTATGATTTTAATGTTGTGATGTCGCAAATAAAGGCAACCATATCTGATACCATTTCACAGATAATAACAATCTTTTGCAGATAATATAGAAGAACATTAAGTTTCTCTACATTTTGTTTAAAAACCCTTTAAAACTGTGTTTTGACATTTAGTTCAAATTTCGTATTTCCGTATTTTTCATTTTTTCTTCATTAATCTTTTTCTGAAAAAAATGATTTTGTGATATATGCAAAGTTAAAGACATTCCCTTCCAGTTAAAGAATTGGATATTTTTTTCTTAAACAGGTTGAGTTTGGTAACTACCAAAGGATGATAGGTTATGTGAGTTACTTTGAACCAGAAAATGGAGACAAGCCAATAGCGATGGGTATCATTTTGGGAGTGGTAATCCCCATCATAGCCATTATTCTGTTGTTAGCCTTCTGTATCATTAAACGGCAGAGGAAAAATGGACCAACAAAGAATGCCATCCCTGATATGTTAAAGGATTACGATACCGTTAAGGAAGAAGAGGACATTGGCTTGCTTTCTGTTAAAGCTGATCTGAACGGACAAATTCCTAATAATGGTAACTATTGATTAAATTGATATGGTTTTTCGGGGGAGTTATTATTAAAAACAGGGGAGTAATGTGAGCTTGAAAAACTCTAAATCATCTTAAGTGTATATAAGTTGTGAATAATTAAACAGAAATAATGAAAGTTCTGCAATGAACATGATTTCTCCAAATAATAAAAAACACCCATTGATCAAAGTAAGACGTTAGACAACATATTTGCTGTGCATGAGAATATTATTTAGAATTACATTGATGAATTATTTAAACAGAAGTCTTAAATATTCCTCTCAGGCTTTTGTTACTATAAGTTAAGAAATTATTTTATGCATTTATTTTTGGGATAGTTAGACAATTGACACAAATACAAATTTAATTATTGCGATTACATGAAAATGCTTGATACAATTAATGCTATCAAAAAATTTTGAGATTTTATTTTTTGAGATGCCTATCTTGTTGCAAATTTTCGCAATAATAAAAACATCACAAAATTTTTTAAATTTACAGTATATAAAACTTTATTAAGAGAATTCAGTCTTGCAAAGAGTGATAACTGTGCTTTTACTTTACGAATGTATTTATTTCAGATTCTGGTCCATATATTAAAGAGCTATTATCTCGTATAAGTGATGAGGGTATGAAGCAGAAAATATCAACCTACTTGGTGTCACGTAATCAGTTAGATATTGGAGAAGTTGTAGCCAAAGGTTTGTTTATAGTTTAATAGGATACCTGAATCAATAAAATTACATTTCACAATTGTAAAAAAAAAATCTGGGTTAAGTATAGAATTCTGAGTGTACTGTAATTTCTTTGTTTTTAGCCTACTGTAAAAGATTTTGAAATTTTTTTAACCACAAGCTTTGTTAAACTTTCAGTAACTTTATGCTCCTTTCAGTTCACTGGTGTTGAGGAAGTTGTAAACACAATTAAACAACTGGCATATAATGTTTTTAAATAAAAGAGGAATAAAGATAAATATTATTATTTTAAGGTTGCTATGGAAACACATATAAAGCAGATTACAAAATATCAGAGGATAAAGATGCATCAGAAGTTACCATTAAAGTTCTACAAGGTATGGTTATCATGAGTATACATTATTGAAAAGGTATTTTTATCATTGTGCTATTAAATCGGTAAAGTGATGTCAATGCATTATGAATGCGGATGTACATGTATTATCAAAATGTTCAAATTTATAAATGAGGTTGCATTTAACAGTAAACATTTAGTTGTTAAAAAGATGCAGTTTATATAAACACTATAATCATTTTTTGCAACGGCAATCCCCAAAAATTATATAGAGCAAAAACAAAAAAACAGGTGCTCAACTTAATGTTCTGTAAGAGAAACTATGCAAGTTTGGTTGAATTCTGTCAATCTGTTTTCATGGAGTTCTGGATTTACAAAGTTTGACACAAGAAAGAGCAATGAAAGCCATCCTTATGTGTTCCCATAGCTGGAAGCTGTCTTGACTACAAAATGATTTCTTTTGCCACCATTAATGTGTTTAAAATTTTGTAGGTTTTCCAACAGATACAGATTCTGTGGATAATTTTGTACAACACATGGTCACATACAAAGATGTACAACATGATTGTCTAGTCCCTTATATAGGAGTGTGTTTAGGAGCTGTAGATGATCCTATATTAGTCTCATATCATATCACATGTACAGATCTCAAATCTCATGTTAAAGATGTATCAAAGGTGAGTCAGAAATCACATGTACAGATCTCAAATCTCACATGAGAGATGTGTCAAAGTAAATCAGATATCCTAGGTACAGATCTCAATCTAATGTAAAAGATGCATCAATGGAAGATTATATACTGGAAGTCACCAGAAATCCAGAAAAAGTTGTGAATAAATTTAAAAGTCTCTAATAAGGATATGCCGTCCTTACCAGATTTCCTAAGTGACAAAAAAAAAACATTCAGATATACTGTAGATTTATTTAATTTCGTTAGTACCTATATTCATAGATTGTGGAAAACTTTTATTTTTGTGGATATTTGATTTTATTGTTTTGACAAATTCTGCCATTTACATATTATTTTAGTTAAAACCTGCATTTGTGGTTCACATATAACCATGACATCCACTAAAACTGTAATAAAAGACCTTTCATGCTGCATTAAAATTCTACTCAATTTTCTTCCTTGCTCGAATTATCTCCCCTTCAGTTTTTTAGTTACAATTCTTGTAATAAAGAGGTCAATTAGTGTGAAAATCAAAAAATATGTTCATCTTTACATTGAAAATAAAAATAATTGATTATCAATATTATTGCAGAATTTAACAGTTGCAGATTTATTAGACATATCACAGCAGATAGTTGATGGAATGGTATATTTACAAGATCTTGGTCTAGTTCATGGCAACTTAGCTGCAAGAAATTGTGTGTAAGTTATTTAAGAAATTTTATTGACTGATTGATTGTTGGTTGTTGACTACACATCTAGATGGATCAGAAAAAAATGTTATAGACATTTAGGATGTATTCTTCTGACGTTACAGTCTTGTTGAAATCTCGTTCTGGAATTATTTCCAAAACATGTGATACAAGTGGAAAATATCAATGAATTTAAAAAATGTTATAATCAAACTTAACTCTGTGAATAAGTTGTGTATTTACAATGAGTAGTTTTTGAGTAATCAATTTTTCAAATTTTATTACCAATCAAGTCAGTCTTTTTAGCCAAAATTTTGAGAAAACGGGTGAGGGGTACAAGAAATGATTTTACCAGAAACATGTACATCCCATATCACTTTTTTCTTTTCAAATTTCTTAGATATGTATTTTTTCAATCATTTATAACAAAGAAGTTGAAATTATATGCATTTTGTTCTTAAATCAGAGAAAAATCACAAATTTACAAAATTGACAGCATGGTTAATTTGACACAAAAAAGCATCAAAATATGATAAAACTTTCTTATATTAACACCTACCTATAGTTTTTTTAAGTTAAATTTATTCAGATTGGTCCACTTCATCTTTATTGAAAGTATAAAAAAAAGTTTAAATGTGGAACTGTGATTTTTTTCACAATAATAGCCCAAAAATAGGTAAAAATTGATGAAAAATGGGAAAATCATCAAAATTGGGTACTTTCAAATGGCCGTAGCAAAAAAAGAAGTGCACCACCATATGATTTTTTCTTCACCAATTATTTTTTTTACAGTCATATAAACCCAAAAATCAGGTTAAGAAAAGAAGTTTAATTCTAGAAATTTTTGGCTCCTCAGAGGTGTACATCCTTAAGTTAAATTTAGAATAAAAAAATTGAAGACTTCTTTTGAAATGAGAAACATTATTTTTTTAGATTATAAAAGGGCATTTCTTTTGATTATAAAAGGGCATTTCTTTAGATTATAAAAGGGCATTTCTTTTGAAGATTTATGAGTATGTAAAATAATTTATTGAAAATTTAGAATTGATTTATTCAAAATGGTGCTGGTATGCCCTTTATACTGGAGAAATTAGTTTACAAAAATTTGTCACAAATATATAAATGTGATTCCAAAAACAATACATATCTTTGTAATAGAAAGTGTAGAAACAAGTCGAGATATTTCAAAAGACAGCTTGAGAGTTAGAGTATTGATTGAAAAATTAAAGCATATGGGGACAACACTTGTAAAGCTAAGCATATGTAACAAGTTTTAAGCAAGCTTGATACATATACAATGACATTTTATGTAATTTTACAGTGGGGTAGGGTAATTATAAAATAAAAATAGACAGGATATGATATTCTTTCAGACTAAGTTACTTATTGATCAATTTATTAATTTAATTTTTTTCTCCAAAATTTAGTACATGTTATGCAATTCTGTTTCCATTATTAAATATTTTTTTGTACTTATATAAAAAAGAATAGCTCAATAACTAGTGTACATACCATATATTTCAAAGTGAAGATAAGTTATTAATTTTATAATAAATTGTATAAAGTGTACTTTTATAAATGAACTCTTATCTTTTCAATTTCTATAATGCTTTACTTAAAAAATGTTTGATTAAAAATGATAAAAGATAGAAATAATGTATTATTTCTGTATGTTTACTCTATTTCAGATTAACAAGTAACAATAAAGTCAAGTTGACAGACTATGGGTATGCACAGCTATTTAATGCTGAGTTTTACCTGTCAGAGAATGATAAAAGACAACAAATCATTAAATGGTTTGCTCCAGAGTGTCTGGAAAGTTTCCAGTTTTCTTCAAAGTCTGACGTTGTAAGTATGAGAGAAGCTAGATTTCTTATGGATATTGGTGTTGTTGGGTTGCTGTGCAATTGATGTGTACCCAACGTCTCCTTTTATTCACATTACACACAGAATGAGCTATGGATGAATTACACACGTAAAGTTATTGGGGGACTTTTTAGATAATCCTCACAATGGCATCAGCAGACAGTTCTCTGATTAATTATCATTCAGCCATCTATAATTTAATGTTCATCTGCACCATGGAGAGACTGGTCATGTGCCATAAGAAGAAGGTCACATGACCAATATACATGATATAAGTTCATTAGGTTTAATAAAAATTATTATTATATACTTAGTAGTAAATACAAGTAAATTGTTTGTGTAATACAATCGATGGCAATCATGCTGTATCAGCCAACCGTGATGATATCGTTAAGGTTACAAAGGCTTTATCAAACCCCTAATCTGTATGATGTCACATAATCGATATCAATCACGGTTGCAAAGGTTTTATCAAACCCCTGATCTGTATGACGTCATGTAATCAGTCACTATAACAAGGGCTTTATCAAACCCCTTATATATGTTTTATGCAAATTCACGTGAAAAAAATATCTATGGTAAGTTGGTTGTACTTGAGGTACATGTACATAATAAAGTGTATATCATATGGCTTTTTCAATATCACACTCTGTTTCAACCCTCAACCAATATAATCCCTCGAACAGAGCTCTTGGGATTATATTGGTGCCTGGGTTGATACAGATGTGATATTGAAAAAGCCATATGATATTCTCTATTTACCATCTAGTTTTTGTCGAGCCTGCGACAAAGGGATAGTGATCCGGCAGCAGCGTTAACTAACTTCTTAAAAGCTTTATATTTTAGAAGGTGGAAGACCTGGATGCTTCATACTTTGCATATTGATGCCTTATGTTACGAAGTTTCCGTCAGTCACATGTCCAATGTCCTTGACCTATTTTTCATGGTTCAGTGACTACTTGAACAAAAAGTTAAGATTTTTTGTAATGTTAATTTCTCTCTTATTATGAGTAATAGGATAACTATATTTGATATGTGCGTACCTTGCTAGGTCCTCATGCCCGTCAGACAGTTTTCACTTGACCTTGACCTCATTTCATGGATCAGTGAACAAGGTTAAATTTTTGTGGTCAAGTCCATATCTCAGATACTATAAGCAATAAGTCTAGTATATTTGGTGTATGGAAGGATTGTAAGGTGTTCATGTCCAACTGGCAGCTGTCATTTGACCTTGACCTCATTTTCATGGTTCAGTGGTTATAGTTAAGTTTTTGTGTTTTGGTCTGTTTTTCTTATACTGTACACAATTGGTCTACTATATTTGGTGTATGGAATGATTGTAAGGTGTACATGTCCAACTGGCAGGTGTCACCTGACCTTGACCTCATTTTCATGGTTCAGTGGTCAAAGTTTAAGTTTTTGAGCTTTGGTCTTTTTTTCTAATACTATATGAAATAGGTCAACTATATTTGGTGTATGAAAATATTTTATGATGCACATGTCAGTCTCGCAGGCTTTATTTGACCATGACTTCATTTTCACAGTTCATTGTTCAGTGTTAAGTTTTTGTGTTTTGGTGTGTTTTTCTTAAACTATAAGCAATAGGTCAACTATATTTTGTGTATAGAAGGATTGTAAGCTGTATATGTCTGTCTGGCAGGTATCATCTGACCTTGACCTCATTTTGTTGGTTCATTGGTCAATGTTAAGTTTTCATGGTTAAGTTTGTTTCTTAGATACTATAAACAATAGGTCAACTATATTTAATGCATAGGTTGATTGTAAGGTGTACATGTCTGCCTGGCATGGTTCATCTGACCTTGACCTCATTTTCATGGTTCATTGGTCATTGTTTAGTTTTCTTGGTTAAGTCTGTTTCTTAGAAACTATAAGCAATAGGTCAACTATATTTAGTGTATTGAATGATTGTAAGGTTGATAGTTGCAGTAAAGCTTTATATTTAGGACTATCAACATAATATCAATGGTTAGTAAAGAAGGCGAGACATTTTAGCGTGTGCACTCTTGTATTCCTTACATAAGATTATATGTAAGAGTTCAGCTCTTCATTGGTCTTCTTATTTCGCTTATGTGACTTCATGAAAAAAGGTGAACCTTGCAGCAAATTTTGCTGACTAAAGATTAAAGGTAAAAATCAATATCATAGTACATTATATGTTTAAAGAGGCATTAGCTGTCAAATTCATGTTCACCGATTTGACTCAAATTCTTATATTCGACATAACATACTAAAACGCATATCCAAATTAAAAAAAGTCTTAAAATAAACAATTTACGATGCATAGACTTGATAGTATATATCAGCATTTGGTGTGTATTTTAGTATAAATGCCTTCTAATTAACCATCGAGGTGACCTCAAAAGACTGCCAACGGTCAAATAACCCAATATAAACATAACCATAGATATAAATAGATTGCGAACTCATGCAATTGGATTTTCTAGGTCTGTTTGATTTCATATTAAAGGTTAAAAAAATATGTTAATAATTGTTTTTACCTGTATAAGAATGAGTTTTTCTAGTCAACCAAATGGTTTCCCCTTGTTTCACTTTCAATGTTTACATTCTTTTCCATTTAATAACTGAACATGTCTAGTTCATGCTTAACCCATCTCTAGCTATAGGGATCAATTAAAGTTCACATGAATATGGATTCAATGCAGGGCTTCCAAAATTATTTTTAGCCAGCCGGACATTTTAATCCCTTAAGACTAAGTAAACAAAAGGCAATTATGGTAATCAGTTGCCGAGTTGGCCATCCCAATGATTGACATTAAAAAAAATTGATATTAAACTTTCTTTGATTCAAATTCGAAGTTCTGACGTAAACTGTTAAATTGGCAGTGCAGCATTCAAAGTGTGCAACATCAGCGTACTTATATCTGCCTTAGACTCTTTATTTGTGCAAAATAACGTTGTCAAAAACTTTACTTTCGTTTTTAAATCTAACCGGATGTTATCTTGACAATGGTAAAACATGGACCAGAGACGGATACGTAAATTCCGTGTACGTTTGCAAAGCATGCATGAGTGGAGCAAGTAGCTCTTTCTACGTTATTTCTTCAAGAAAATATTTGAAATAAACGTGAGATAAAGGTATCAATGACAATTTAAGCATTTTTTTTAAGAAATTAGGATGCATAATTAAATTTCACACCTGCGCACATGCGCACACCTGTACTAGTTCAAACAGAGACATGTCTCTGGTTCAAACAACGTGGTTATGTCGATTTTTCATTTTCACCTTTTTAATTTTTTCATCAAATCATATTTGTAAACGTATTTCTGATAATTTAAATCTTTTTGACTAAATTAATTGGATGCAAACCGCTTAAATGTAAGAAAATAACTTTGAATAGACCGATCAATGTCCTGTTCAAAATAGTTTACCTGTCACCTGAACAGGTAAATTTCAGCTGTTCGACAACTAATTAGCCTTGATTAAAATGAGAAGGTATTAAAGTAGGGGTTGTTTTGATAGTACTTAATGATCATGTCACTTTTATGACCGGAAATGTATGGCTGTTAAAGGCAAAAGGTTGGGTCAAAAAGATCGTGAATTATGTTAAAATGACCGTCTCTTAAGAAAGCCTTGAAAACTAAAAAGTAGATGACCGTTTCATGCTTTTCCCAGCCAGACTTTTACCGGACATTATACCAATGTCCGGAATATATGACCGTTTTGGAAGCCTTGATTCAATGGTCGAATTATTCACTTGCAAGTGAATAATTCATTAGCGATGTTTCATTGCTTGATTTGACAAAACTGAACCAAACTGGCTGTTTAAAAGCGAATTATTATTTCTCTATTTCAAATTCATTAATGATTGAACAAAAAAAATCATATTTTTTTTTTTTTTTTTATATCTCCTAGCTAATGCCCCTTTAAACCTTAACCTTTTTTGGAATGTATGTGTGGTTCAAATGTATTATTGTAGAATTTTTTTTATAGAAAACAATTTAATAATGGAGTAAATAGGTGATCTGATATGTCTGTGTTAAATTAGGTAACAGGTCATACTTAACTCATCCTTATATATTTTGCAGTGGTCATTTGGTATAGTGCTATGGGAATTGTTGACAAGGGGAGTAACTCCTTACCCTGATGTGGAACCAAATAATATAAGAGATTACTTAAATAGTGGGAAAAGACTGAAGAAACCTAGACAGTGTCCAGAGTCATTGTAAGTTTGTTATATAAAGGCAAAGTATATGTAGTTCGGTTGTATTTTGGATTCTTTCTGAATATTGAAAAATTGATATACATGTATGAAGCATTTATACTTTAAGGAATACAATGAATTAAGGATTTAATAAATAGATCTTTAAATGTTTACCGCAATAGAGTAAGTATAAAGTGGCAATACAGGTATTCAAAATTCTCTCAAAAGAATTTGTTTTAAAATCCCTGTTCTTGCTGTTATCATTTCTGTTTAAATGATGTGAAATAAAAGGAGTTTGACAATTGGTTTTTTTTTCGGTAGAAATATTAATTAGTTTGCTATGTAGAGTTAAAAAAAGTGAAAATGACTCAACCTTTGAATGACATCAAGCTGTTAAATCAGTATTTTTCATGTTTTTTCATACATCACTCAAACTTCAAAAATTTTTACAGCAAAAACAAGACTTTGTACTGTGGTATTTGCAAGTCACTCATTATTAATATGATGGGTGTCATTAGTGGAGCTAAAACTGCTAACCCTTTCGCAGCACTTCAAAAGTTCACCCAAGATTTTTTGCTGAGTCCTGATTGTAGTTTGTCCTACTGTAGTTTTTGGTTTTTTTTTCTTTTAGTTATTGTGTTTTGCTGATATTTTTCATTTGTGTTAAGATTGCCCCATTTATATTGTCTTACCTGTCTCACATGTAGAGACAAATATTTATAATCAGTTCCTTTGCAGTTAAGAATTTTAAATTGTCTTATGACATAATTAATGAAGGATTTACAACAAATGTATAACATGGAAGATATATATTTTTTGCAGATATTTACTGATGTTAGAATGCTGGACTGAAACACCAAATGCCAGACCTACATTCCAAGATATCCAGACAGAAATGAAGAAGTTTGTCTCCAAAGAGGACACAAATGACGTCACAGAACCATTGGCAACTAAAATAGAACCAGGAGGTTCTTCAGAATATCTAGAGGTGGTTGGTTGACATTTTGTTGTCATAACAGGAAGTCATTAAAGGGAGCAAACTCTTCTAGAACTTAACTAAAATTGGTTGTGTTCTGACAATCAGTGTAGGATTTCAAGAGAAAATCTCTAATCCTAGAACTATTTGTAATTGAAGATGTTGTAATGGAAAGGAACTCTGTGTTCATTTGAACAAAATGGTTGTACCATTGTGCTGTTATTGAACGTGCCATTAAACATGTTCTAATGTGGTTGTATACACCAATCAATTATAGCATTTTATAGTGTGTTGTAACTTACGCATATCATTACGTTTTCATTGAGATGAGAGTTGTACAATTTTAATAGGTTGAGCTGTCGATCTTTTAATTTTGATTTTAATGCAGCATACGTTTTTAAATGCCTTTATGAAGCTGATTGGGTATCAACGCTGCCTGCCGTTTATGTATTCTATGCATTTTACAAAATTTGATATGTATTATTGAATCTCAATTAACCAGAATGCTCTTTTTTACATGGTCAGTTATAGATATACATTTTAATAACTTATTTTCAAGATATTTATCTGCTGTCAAATATTTCAACCTAAGTGAATGTTTTTATGTGTATTTAACTTTGTCTATCATTTTTACACTGAAGAATTAGGTGACATTTTATAAAACATTTTTAGGATTTTAAGGTTCAAAATGTATGATATTTGATATTCTTAATTTATCTTTTTTTTTTCTTCTTCTGTTTTTTCGGGGGGAGGGGGGGGGGGGAGGGAATAGGATAAAGATAATGGAATTAAAGAACATGTACTTGTATTTATTGTAGTAAATAAGGGGTAATTTAAAATGCCTGAAATTTTCAAGTACCCAAACTATATGTCTGCCTGCACAATCAAAGCTACGCAATAAGATTATTTTTTTAGCATTTTTACTTTTTTAAATCGCATAGTTTTAATCTTTTTTGAGATTTTTTACTAAATGTGAGTGTCATGGAACAAAATCTTCACAAGATTTTTTTAACATTTAGTGCCATGTAGGTCATTTTCTTTGTTGTTTTCTCTCAAAGAGAGGTTTTGTGTTGTGGTATATTTATGTATTGTGCTTTTTGTACAAATTTTAATGAAGTATTTATATAATTTGTATTGTTAGGAGCAAAGAACTACATTAAATGCTTTTCAGTAAGTTTTTTGTGTTATGTTTTCATGGAACAGGATAAATCTGGATGAGACTATGAAAGAAGGAATTCAGTTTGGTTTCAAATGTGTGCAATGAAAGTGTTTCAAAATTTCAACAATTTCCAAAGTTAAATACTGAATTTAAAGACCAAACAGCCTATTGGTTATGCACATCAACTAACGCAACTTGGTTGTGACATAAAAGCTCTATGACGCTGTTTCTAGCCATGAAAAAAGCGCCAAATTATAACGTCCTATTTTATAGCGTTTTTCACGGATTCCAATATGATAAAAACACTTTTTGCAAGAAAAGTGGAATTAAGAGTCGCTCAAATATCTAGTGTAAATAAAACACAAATGGACACAAAAGATACTACACTATCTGTAACCTTGCACGACATTAAACGTTCAAATACAAATTTTGAATTTTTTAAGTGTGTACATGGGTAAGTTCTAATGACTTACGCTTAGAATTTGAACTTGTGTTATTTTTAAAATTGAGCTTTTAGAAGGTTAGGCCAATACAAAAATTGTTCTAGTAGTTTCTATCTACTGGCGCCATATGCATGTTGAGATTTACTAATTCTCTGGATGATTCTCGTAAAATAATGTCCGATCTTGCAATGAAGTTCAATTTTATTTATTCTGCTTAATTTGCGAAATCTTTTAGTAAAAAATAAAAATAGTAAAGGTGTCATTTGTTTTATTTCAAATTGTCTTAAGGGAGAATGATAAAGATTTCACTTGATCTCACTGAAGCTTAAGGCAAAAGTTTAAGAAATCAATACTCAGTGAATGTGAATTAAAATCAAAATTTAAGGTGTATAAAACTAAACTTGTAAATTTAACTTATGAGAAAAACAATTATTCCAGGAATAAGATCCAACATAAAATTTCTCACGGTAACACCTTCAAGAAACTACAATGACTGGAAAGATTGAAAACAAATTTGATTTTCAATGCCAGCAATTGTATACAGGTGTAATACCACCAAATCATAGTACGTCACATCCGGTTGCATATGAAAATAGGTCGAAAAAAAATATTCCCTTGAATTTGACAGTTGCAGTAAAACATTTCTGGGTCATAAACATATATCTTGGGTATTTCAAAGCACCATTATTTTTTTATTTGGGGTTCTATAGAATATTTTGGAAACTTAAGGTTACATGGTTACTAAAGCTTGTACATAGGTTAAAAAAGGGGGAAAATTTGTTGGTTAACTTCCAGTGATGGTTACTTTCTTATATGCAATGAAATGTTATGTGAAATTTTTTCTATAGTACTGGACCAGATAAAACTTTACTCATGCCAAGTATTTCTTTATTTGAAACAAAGATAAATTCTGCACATTTTTTTGAAAAGTGCAAATTTAACAAAGACTAATAGGGGAAAGTCAATGGTGGTATTACACCTAATATGGGAAGCTGTACATGCACCTTTGACCTTGTGAGTACTCTCATGTGTTAAAATTTCTTGCTATTTAAGTGAAATATTACAAATAATGAAATATTCTGAGTGGATTGAGTCTCCAAAACACATTTTATGAGAAAATTTCCTTGAAATAGGACTTTACCATGAATATTAGTTGACAGAACAAGCCATACTTAGAGTTTTGGGGAGCTTTTTCTCCTTATTTCTTATATTCTGCTATACTAGACAAATTTTCCTAAGAAATACTTTAATAAATATATAGTTTTAAGTAAATGAAATGATTTTTAAAGCAGTAACAACAAATTATTCACCAAAAGAGAAGCTTTTTATGTCCCTCTCTGGAACGTGGCGTAAATTTAAGCTTTACGTAAGGACTTATTGAAACCTCCTTGGAGACAGTAAACTTTTATACGGATAGTCATTCAGCTTGAATACTTCAATTAATCATTTATAACAACAATTCTATCATAAATGAGTGAAAGTTACCCAAAAATTTTTATTTATTGGCCTAAAAAGTAGAAATTTTGAGGAAATGAGAGGTATAAATGGACCAAAAGAAACCTTATAAGGAAGACAAAGAGGTCCATTAGTAGTATTTATCATCCTAAAGTCATCTTTTGTATCATATTCAACTCAACTGTTAGTAGGCAGATGAGATAAATATTTGATCATTTATTGGTCCACACTATATTCTATCATGATGTGGCTTGGTTTGGATTTTTCAAAGAAATTTTGCTCTAATCGCTGTAGATGTCGTCTTACATTATACTAGATTTTCTCAAACTATTGAACTGATTATGACAAAACTTGACAGGAATGCTTGAAATAACCAGTATTACGAAGGAAAAAAGTCACATTCAGTTTATTTAACAAAAAAGTCTTCTTTATACAACCTTGTCTTTGTTTTAATTTAAAAAAATGAGCAATTTCATAAGATTGTAAATTGCTTTGAGAAATACTATAGTTTTCAACAGAAAATTATTTCTTTAGAGTTTAAATGAAAATTGTTGAATTCTAAACTAATTTTAGAATGAAAAACTTATTTGTTTCTGCAGTTTGTATGGCCATGAATGAATTTAAATAAAGTAAATGTCAAAATTATAAACCATACTTAAATTACAAATACAATCATGTAGATACTATATAAAAATTTATCAGATGACTTGCTCTTACTTGCATTACAAAGTATAGTTAACCTACAAAGATGTCCAGAAAGGAAATATACAAATGTTAATATCAACTTGCAAAAAAGATTTTATTGGAAAATGCTTGAGCTCTGTGTGAAATACAGTAAGCCAAACACTTTCTTGTAATAAGCATAGTTTTAGCTAAAATATAAAACACATTCTTTGGATGTTATGCCAGTCAATTTTTCATAAGGACTTACCTATAAATAATACCTTTAAGCTATTATTTCAACATTTTGGAATTGTGATCAGTAATGGTATCAATTGATTGTTATACTCACAGCTTCTGTCAGTCCATCAAGGCTGGTTTACCTTTGTCTGTCTGTCCAGCTGTCTAATTATACTGAGCATCTACAAGTCATATCTTCTTTATATACGACACCTAGCTTCATCTTGTCATGCCATACTGTGTGACACATATATAGTTCCTCAGATGTTCTACTCCCTGTTTGCTTAACATTTGTATCTTTTAACTGCTAAATGGAGAAGACAACATTGAGCTGGGTTATAACTTGTGAGCAAGAACTCAAAGTACTATGTTGTTTATATCTCATTATATGTTATGTAGTTGGACATATGTTTCTTTCTTGACATCATTATCCCCTCTTGTAGTAATTTTGTGCAAAAAGGGGTTTCTTTATGCTAAATCAAATATTTCCATCATATTACAACCTTCCCTGGACTAAAGGTCAGATAATGGGAGGAATATCTCTATTGATTTTAAGGAAACTGTGTTTAAGTTCAAGGTCATTGTTATAGAAATAGATCAAAATTTGTGTTGGAAAATGTTTTCACAATGCTAAACAAAATACTTCGTATTCAATTGAAATCTTGCTTGGACATGTGGTTTCATTATTCATTTAAATATCCCTATTAAATTTGAAGTCACCAGGTCTAAGGCCAAGGTCATAGTTACATAAATAGTTTGTTTTAAAGACAGTAATTATAATGTCAGAAACCATAATCATACAATTAAATGGAAAAAAAAAACATACCAGCAGGTCACTATTATCTTGGAGGCACGGGGTGTGTGATCATTATCGTAAAATTTTACATCAGAATTGTCCTGTTCACATTTTTAAATTCCCACAGTTTAGTTCTGTATAATATTTAAATTAAGGATGAAGAATCGATAGAGGTTCTACTTTGATTAACATTTATTATATGGCAGTGACTATTTTGCCGGCTCTGATTACAATGTCTTAATTCAAGCCAGCAAAATAGCATATTTCTATAGAAATGTCTGTTTTACCGGCACTGGCAATATAGTGAATTTGTTATTTTGCCGGTTCTTTGTAAAGATTGAAATTTAATATTTATATACTTTTAAAAAGTACTACGAAAATGTGCACGGTCAACATAAAAGAATCAAATAATTTACTGATATACCGGAAGTAAGGGCATAAGAAAGAATAAGAAAAGAATATTTATTATTCCAATCAAGGGCCCTTGGCGGGCAACATAACATGTACACATAAAACAATACATCATGATTTGTAACAGAAAAACATTTTTATATATTAAAATGAAACATTGAAAAGTTCAGACAGATGTTATTATCTTCATTCTATAAAAAAATCACATACATTTAAATCCAGGCAGGATCAGAACTAGAAAATCGATACATCTACAGGGGAGGTAATGACGTTGCTAAAATAAAATGTTATTTTTCACTACGTCAAACTGTGACATTTTGGGAAAAGATGCATTTTCGACTGATTTTTATCATTCAGACTGATTAAATTTGAAAACGAGTTCATGGATCCCTCTTTTAAAAAATGACATTTGGCTTGATTATGTATGTAGATTATTTGTGTCATTTATTATGAACAAATCACCAATGAGATATTTTTAATTAGATAATATAAATGAGAATATGTTGTATGAGTGCCAATTAGGCAACTCTCCATCCAAGTCGCAATGTGTAAAAAGTAAACAATTATAGGTCAAAATACGGCTTTCAACACGGAGCCTTGGCTAACACCGAACAGCAAGCTATAAAGGGTTCCAAAATGACTAGTGTAAAACAATTCAAACAGGAAAACCAACGGTCTAATCAATATAAAAACGGGAAACGAGAAACACTTATGAACCACATCAACAAACGACAACCACTGAACAACAGGTTCCTGTATTGATAAATTTAACTGTTAAAGTAGAACAGTTGTACATATTTTAGTTAGTTGACATAATTTGATGGATATTGATTATTTAGTGATCAATTGATATAGTTTGTAAATAAAACATTTCGGATCCAGTATCAATCCAGTAAAGAACATATGTAATAGTTATACACCGAGGGAGAGGTGTGTCTGGATAAGAAACCCCGTCGGCCGGAGGCCGGAGGAGTTTCTTATCCAGACACACCGTATCCCGAGTTGTATAA